TTTTCAGAAACGACTTGGCTATCACAAATGATGGCTCAACGAAGTGGCTTATCACGTGGAAATTTACAGCAGCCAAATGCACGTTGATCCTGAACGTGGAAGGGGGGACAAAAAAATCGGAGGCACCCGAAGGAAAAATCCACGCCACCGTGCGGAGAGACACGCACACTCCAAATATACAGCAGCATGCGTCAGGTTCGGGATCGATCCCAACACACCCTGTACACCAGGCGAGGTAGTTAACATCTCGCCACCGTGGCGGCCCTTAACAAAAAAAAAACTAAAACTAGATTCCCACGCTTACTATACACGCTTCTAAATTGCCGCTCGTCACAATTCATTGACCGTGCATATGATTCGCCAATGCCGCGTTTAGGCATATGGAGAAAATACACGAGATGACGAAAAGAATCAATGGAGAAGAAACGCATGGGACACACGGAACACTTTCCAGCTTTGCATCTGGCTTCAAAAGAACTCAGGTTAGCGATGATGACGATGATGATGACGATGTTGGCAGCGCTTGTGCCAGGCGAATTGTCCATAGGCTGGTGGTTTTGGCGCTCCTGACGTGCCACGGCCGCGGAGCGACTCCGCAAGCGCCGCCACTCCCCCCTGCCCACCACCCTGAGCACGCACACACACAGACACACAGCACACACACAGACACACACACACATACACACACAGACACACACACAGCACACACAGTACACACACACAGCACACACACAGCACAAACACACACACAGCACACACACAGACACACACACAGCACACACACAGCACAAACACACACACAACACACACACAGACACACACACAGACACACACACAGACACACAGCACGCACACACAGACACACAGCACGCACACACAGACACACAGCACACACACAGACACACAGACACACACACACACAGCACACACACACACAGCACACACACACACACACAGCACACACACACAGACACACACACAGACACACACACACACAGACACACACACAGACACACACACACACAGACACAGCACACACATACACACACACAGCACACACACAGACACACACACAGCACAAACAGCACACACATACACAGACACACATACACACATACACATACAGCACACACACAGACACACATACACACACAGCACACACACACGCAGCACACACACACACACACAGCACACACACACACACACAGCACACACACACACGCAGCACACACACACAGCACACACACACACAGCACACACACACACAGCACACACACACACACGCGCAGCACACACACACACAGCACGCACACACACAGCACACACAGCACACACACAGCACACACACACACAGCACACACACACACAGCACACACAGCACACACACACACAGCACACACAGCACACACACACACGCAGCACACACACGCAGCACACACACGGAGCACACACAGCACACACACACACAGCACACACACACAGCACACACACACACAGCACACACACACAGCACACACGCAGCACACACACACAGCACACACACACGGAGCACACACAGCACACACACACACACAGCACACACACACAGCACACACACACAGCACACACACACACACAGCACACACGCAGCACACACACACAGCACACACACACGCAGCACACACACACACAGCACACACACACAGCACACACACACACACACAGCACACACACACACACAGCACACACACACACAGCACACACACACACGCAGCACACACACACAGCACACACACACACAGCACACACACACACAGCACACGCACACACAGCACACACACACACACACGTGCAGCACACACACAGACACACACACACAGCACACACACACATACAGCACACACACACACAGCACACACACACACAGCACACACACACACAGCACACACACACAGCACACACACACACACACGCGCAGCACACACACAGCACGCACACACACACACACGCAGCACACACACACAGCACACACACACACGCAGCACACACACACAGCACACACACACACAGCACGCACACACACACACACAGCACACACACACAGCACACACACACACGCAGCACACACACAGCACACACACACAGCACACACACACAGCACACACACACACACGCAGCACACACACACACGCAGCACACACACACAGCACACACACACACACGCAGCACACACACACACACGCAGCACACACAGCACACACACACACAGCACACACACAGCACACACACACACGCAACACACACACACAAGCACACACACACACAGCACACACACACGCACAGCACACACACACACACACACGTAGTGTCCCGGCGGGGGATTGCCGGGCACAACGGGTTTTCATCCGAAGGGCCCCTAGGTGGAATGTCCCGCGGTTTCCCGGTGCCAGCAGATTACCTGACCCTCCCAGGACAAATCACATGGTAGCGCCCCTAAATTGGCTTAAACTTGAATGGGCATACAAAGGTTTACCCGGCCAGCCACAATGAATCATGCACGACATCGGGGAGAGGGCTGGGGTGAAATATTAAGCGAGCAGAGCAGACAATTATGGAGGGGGACCGGCTAGTGTGTATTTGCCAGCTGGACGCCCTCCCAGGTTATACCGGCTGAGTCAGGGATGAAGAGTACAGTGAGGGAAAAAAGTATTTGATCCCCTGCTGATTTTGTACGTTTGCCTAGTGACAAAGAAATGATCAGTCTATAATTTTAATGGTAGGTTTATTTGAACAGGGAGAGACAGAATAACAACAATATCCAGCAAAACGCACGTCAAAAATGTTATAAATTGATTTGCATTTTAACGAGGGAAATAAGTATTTGACCCCTCTGCAAAACATGACTTAGCACTTGGTGGCAAAACCCTTGTTGGCAATCACAGAGGTCAGACGCTTCTTGTAGTTGGCCACCAGGTTTGCACGCATCTCAGGAGGGATTTTGTCCCACTCCTCTTTCGCAGATCTTCTCCCAAGTCGAAGTACCGGGACGCTGCACGGGCATCCCCTCGCAGTCCTCCTGCTGCATCATGGCAGCTAAAGCGGTGACGGCGGCCAGGAGGTCTCCCATAATAATGCCTTTGGTGAGGTTTTCGGTCGTCTCCTTGCATCGCTGGCATAACAGCGTCCCGCTCCATCTCCGGCTCCTGAGCGCCCAGGGTCGATTGTGGGAGAGCCCCGTCGTCGTGGTCGTCCTCGTCCGAAGACTGAACGTGAACTCCACCCCAGGCAGAGTCACGGTACGTGGAAGCAGGAAAGCGGACGGGCTCGCCTCCGGGGCGAGCCGCGTCTGTCGCTCGGGCGGCACCGAACTGAGCAGGACACCGGGGGGGGGGGGGGGGTGGCGCGTGCTGAAGCCGAGCGTCGCCGTCACAGGGCGAGAGGCCACGTCTGTCACCCGCGCACGCGACTGAGAACAACCGGGAGCACGGAGTGGCTCAAGAGCGCCTGACGAAAACCCAGGTTCATCCAGTCTGGCGGAGGAACTCGATTTTTTTTTTCCTGTGGAGGGGGTGGGGATGCTGCTGGCAAGACCCCTTGTCGCCCGCCAGGCTAGCAAGAAAGAAGCGGAACGGGGGGAGGGGCCCGAATGTCCGCTCGTGGCGGCCATCGCAGTTATCATGGCAAATGCCTGGTCAACAAACAAACACAAATTCAAGAGGGGTAATAATAACCTTAGTAGCCCCTTACCAACCCTTTACAAAACTATCCATAGCTACCAAATCGAATAGCCGTGTGGTACCCATTCATACTGCCGATGTCCTAAAGCGTTACTTAAATTGCAGCGCTGGGACATTGAATCAAAACCGGTGACCTCGAGATAGCAAGTCCAGTGTTCAAATTTACAGCACAGCAGCATTCTGGAAGATGCTTAATTTCTCCAGTGTTGTCTCCCATGATAAATGAACAGCACACACGGTGTGTGAACCTTCATTCTTAAAGGTGCTATATGAATGCAACGTTGTTGAATGTTATTGCGGGAAAGTTGGATGTCCTTAAATATGCTTAATAATCATAATGTACAGCCCTTGGTCAAACAACGACTTAGTGCAAGGTCCCTCTATCTGTCTCAGTCGCGGGGGTAGTTTGACCACAGTTCACTTTGGAAGTGGAGCTTCTTGGTCAGGGAGGATGGGGACACAGGACCCGTTCAGATGTCCCTCACTGGCGATGTGGCCCGTGGCTGGGATGAAAAATCTCGCTTGGAAAAGATAAAACATCGGCATCAGGGGTTGCCGAGCACAGGCTCAATATATATTAAAAAAAAGTAATGTTTGTGTCACAGACAATAATCAGAATCAGAATCATAAAGGGTTTTATTCGCCATGTAAATTCACACCGACACGGAATTTACTTTGGCAGGATGGTGCATACATTCAACATATAGGAATCTAAAATCTTAAAATAAGTTTTAAACAAGTCTTACTATAATAAGGGTCAAAAGTCTAACACCAAGGGGCTGAAGTATGTAAAATTAAATAAATATCGAATATAAAATCCGGCAAGGCTATACGAACTTGGGGAAAGCAGCTGATGGGACGGGAATGACAAAGTCAGGCACTGTGCTCGTGGCAAACGCCTGTAATCGGGCACTGTAAAGGCAAGGGTTGGTGGATCAGACGAATGCTGTGAGACCTCCTTCCTGTGGACACCTGCCAACAGAATTCAGTCGAGCAGAGTGTGGACTGATATCTGTTCCTCATCTATCAGAATTAAAATCTATCTTCATACTGGAGGAATTCAATGAGGTATATGCAATATTCACAGATGCCCGGTAGAGGCAGGTGAGAACGTAAAAACGACAAGCAAACCAAAAAAAAATGATAGCAGTACAAAGTATAGGAAAGGGAAACAAATAACTTAAAGAATATACACAAATAAAACTATTTTTTGTGTATATATGTATCTTACGAAGGCTCACTGAGCTATGCAGCTCTTTTTCAGAAGCCACCTGGCCACAAATGATGACTCGACAAAGCGTCTTATATCACGTGGAAATGTGTATAGCAAGCCAAATAATCTAAATGCGAGGAACGATGGTCCGACTTACGATATTTCGATCTTACGGTGGCGATAGAAGATGCGACAAAATTGCCATCAGCAACCTAAACATCGTTCAGGTATGCAGATGACGGACAGAATCTTGGTGAGTACAGTTACAATACGTTACGATACGTTCAATGCGTCTATGATACGTAGCTTTAGCGATTTCATTTTAGGGTTACCGCGATACTTTACGTTCAATGCGTGTTAAAAGTTTTTTTTTATAGCGGATAAGGATTGTTTCCTGAAAAAAACTTTCGATGAAATTGCAGTTCACATCGGTAGGCTAAGAATTTACCTTGTTTTTTTACTTTACATTTTGCTGTGCAATGCAGTATTGTATTTAATAAATACATACAGTATATATTGTATATAGTACGGTACTTTAAATTGCTCTGTTTTGCTAAATTATCACCATTCTTTAAGACTCCATGGTAGGCTAGGCCAGGCCATCTTTGACCTACGATATTTTTGACTTACGATGGGGTCGTCCTTACACATCTCCATCGTAAGTAGAGGACTACCTGTACACAGCAGCCGTCAGTCAGGATCGAACCCAAGACCTCCTGCATATCAGCCGAGCGAAATAATTTCTTGCCTCAGCAATTGTGAGATGCAATTGTCGTGAACGCTCGTTAAAATGTGTCGACATAATTTGGGTGTCTCAATGCAGCGGTTATTACACGGTGCTAACCACTCCGCCACCTCTCTCCCAAACGAGATTAGAACTTCTCAAAGACGTACTCCAGGTCTGGGTAACTTTCCCTGAGGTCCCACAGCGCCTCCCAGAACTGCTTGACCCTGGGTCGCCCCCTCGCCATCACCAGCTCCACCATGTGCTGTGTCGCCTTCTCGCTGCCTTGCCGAGCTTGCATCTCCTTCACGGCCTGCGAGTGGACACACGAACGGAACGACGCGACGTTCAGAGCGGAACGACGTTTCTGTAGCGATGGCGGTTCTTCAGAGCCGCTTGCCTGCAACACTCCAGAAGCACCCTGTGTTTGCGTTGTAAAGCAGCAGCGTTTATGACCAAGTGTGACTCTTGTAAAGATGATCCAACATGACCAAGACTTCCAGATAAAGTTGTATTCCTATTCCCCGAGCTCTCATACTCTGATGGTGCATTGTCTTTGAGTTGTGCGCCTTTTGGCGTCTTCTGGTCCAACACCAACGTGAGACGAGGCTCTAAAGAAAGCTGTCTCGGGTGTGGACCAATCAATTTCAAGGACAGTGCCACATACATTATCAGAGTTGTTGTTTTTTGTTTGCGTTCCGACCGCAGGTATTGTGGTCAATGTAAACATGACTCCTTGTAAAAAAATAGGTGTCAGTTTTGTTGCCAGATTAAAAGGATAAAACACCAATTATCATATTTTGTTACTGGCAAATGAGGTTTCCAATGGTGTTAGTTGGACATTACCCGCACGCTGTTGTCGGTGAGGATGTTCCTGATCTGCAGTTGGGAGAGCAGAGGCGTCAGGTCGTCGCGCAGCGCCACGAGGAGCTCCCTCGTCTTGAAGCGGATTTTGTCTCGGAGGACAAAGTCGTTGTACTTGTTCAGAACCAGGGGGGACTTGTTGGAGAGTCTCCGGAGGAAGTCTGCGGCACCACAAAAGGGGGTGAAACGCAGCGGCAATTGGCGCCGTTTCAGCCTTCAAAGGTGGATGAGAGCAGGTTGGAGTGCTTTTGGAAAATTGAACAAAATAATGAAATGTAACGTAACCAATGTGCCTGAAGAATAAAGTTTTAATCGGCCCGCATTACCTGCTATGACGTACGAATCAGACACGTGGACACTGACAATTAAAAGGAACAGCACTGCAAGAGCATGAAATAGTACACGGTTTCAAGTTACGTAGAAAAACAGAACGACAGTGCATGGGTTATAGGGCATTGCTTTGTTAATTAATTGCACCTGGGCAGGACATGTCACCAGAAGGAATGATGGCCGGTTAATGCGACAAATGTGGATTGTGTCTGAAATTAAACGTTAATTATAAATGTATTGTTTTGTTACCAAGGCCTCCCAGCCACTCCTTGAGTCCAGGATACTCGTTCTGCACGGCCTGCAGGGCAAAGAGCAGCTTGAGGCAGTCGTCATTCCCTCTCTCTTTGAAGAAGTTGAGCAGCAGCTCCGTGCACTCCACGCCATCCCGGATGCCCTTGGCCTCGGTGAAGAGCTCGTTCGGGATCCGTCCCCGACTCATCAGCTGCAGCAGAAGATGCTTGGGGTCTCTGGCGATCCAGAGCTTCAGATCCGACTCCTTATCTCGAATGGCCCTCAATGCCTCGCCTGCGATCGACAGAGGTTCATATGAATTCCACAAGTATCGTTCTACACAGACTTATTTGATTTTTTATTAAAATTAGGCCACGATTGTGAACCAAGGCACAACGTATAACATATTTAGGTTCATATTGGTACTTAAACAGTCAAGTGTGACGTGAAGTCGTTCAGTCACGCACAGCATGACATAATTCCTGTGCGGCTTTAAACGTAGTGTCGTAGTCTCCGATCACTTCCCCGAGGACGAACTCGTGCTGGAAAGCATTACGGAAGCCACGCATATGCATGGTTCTTCTTCCTCGACTCTCACAAAATGGCATTCGATGTCAATACACCGGTGCGTTCACGTGGGTCGTACCGTGTGTCTGAATCCACTTCCACAGCTGCACGTATTGCTTCCTCACAGAGTAGAGGGAGTCCCACAGCGTCTCACAGCGTGCCTCTCCCTGGCTGATGAAGTGGTCCAGAACGAGCTCCACACTCTCCTCTCCGCCCTTGATGATGGCCGCTTGGTGAACTCGTCGTGGAATCAATTTGAAGCCGTTGAGATGCTCCAGGAAGGCCGATGGATCCGCTCCGATCCAGGCCTTGAGTTTCTCTTTGTTCTCTCGGATCTGTTGCATTGTCTCGCTGCTCTCATTGCTCCTCTGTAGCGTGTGGAGAAGACACGGTCACGATTATTTCTGTCTATCTGGGATGGAGTTTTCAGTGTACTGGTGCACGTCTACACACTGAAACAATGTAGAGTAGGGTCATCATGCCACTATGCTGCGTTGAGTTTACCTGAACTCCATATGGCACCTTGTGTTCATTTCGCATGATATGAACAAGCGGTAGATTTTCATCATGCTCGTTATTTGTATGAGTAGTGTCTGAAAGAAAACAGATAAAATTAGTTAATCACTGATTCATAGCACAGTCGATGCGGTTCTATTGTTCGACACAGAAAACTAAACATGGCGATCTTGGAGTCAGGGAGAACCTTTAAATGTTTCCTATAATTTTAAGATTGGAAAAACCTTAACTGGAATGTAAAGTTGCATAATTTCATAGCCAAGATGAAGATGTCATCACCTGCTGCTAAAGACCATGAACAGACAGTTTTGCGGTCGTTTTTGAATCAGTCCAAATCCTACCTCGATGCCCCTCGGGACCTCGACAATTGTCAACTTCCTCCCTTTGTCACAAGAGCGGTAAGCACACAACGAAGTAACGACGACTCTTCAATTGAGCGTCCTGTCCAACACGACTTTACTCGGGTGTGAAATATTGTCGGATGAGTGGAGGCACGGCAGAGGTGACTGTCACCAGTAGCAACACTCTCCAAGGGACTTTCAAATGACACCGAAGCCAAAGCTCTCAAAAGGGATGTAGCTCATTTTCATCATTCTGTGCAGTGGTGTCTGCAGAGAGCATTCAGAGGCGGCTTCGTGCCGAGACGTGATTTCTCCACGCATCTTAATTCACTGTATAATGAGTAAAACACATTTTGGCAGATGTATATTTGCAGCCCCAATAGCAGGATGTGATCTTTGGATTAAGCACAGAACGTTGCCACTTACCTGATTGCTTCACCATCGTTTTTAAAGTCAACCCCTTCTGCTTCATGTTGAAGTAAACTATGAGCAACACGAGTGCAGTCAGGACGAAGATGAGGACTGCCGCCAACACGACTGACGTGGAGTCTGAAAATTTTATGAAGGGAAAAAAACAACAAGCTGTGAACAGCAGCTCCCTCTCCGCCTACTTTTCAGGTCTATGTGATACATTGCAATGAATACGAATGCAGTACGTTGCATTAACACAACCTCTATCAAAATCAAACCATCAAATCACTGCTCATAATAAAGGTTTTTGGGTTAGATCGCGTTATTTATAAATGTGTCGTAACCCTCCACCACCCGACACGGCCAATCAGCAAAAAAAAAGTGTCACGTTGACAAAAGACAAATAATTCACTACTTTAGCCCACCGGTGTGTTGAAGAGTGAATCCACAACATTTACAGTTTGAGTACGACGTTTCGCTGGTAAATACATCCAGCATCATCGGGCAATTCGCCAGAATGGTAAAGCCCTCGCTTGCTCCCGGTCTTATATAGAGCAGCCTCAGGGTGACGTCATCACTTAACTCATATCAGGTGCAGTGATTTGAGGCGGAGGGGGGGTATTGTAATTATATAATCGATTAGTAATCAGTCAATGGTTATGATTAGTAATGAGTTGTAGATTAGTAATTAGTTGTAATGTGTGTTATTGTGATTATATGCTACGTTAGTAATCCGTTAATTAGTATGCGTTTCCCCTATGAGGAATTGTAATATGCATTATTTAATAATACGCCTCCAGGCCGCACTAAATCACTGCTCTTTGCATCATTTCTATAGTTTCTTTAAGCACGAAAATTTTCTGCGATGGCGCTTTTTCACAGATTATCATCTGCAGCAGTTTCACAGTTGCGGGTGATGTTCTTTTTTTTACGATTTGCCTTCCCCCCATAAAGGAACTTTGCAGATAATTTCACATTCGAACCACGATGCCAGAACACATGGCATTCTATTTTCAAAACAGGTCCCTGCAGGGTGGGCTGGTAGGAACATTGGCAAAGTAACGTCACGGTGCCTTCGAACTGCGCCTCGCAAATTGTATTCGGCTGTGGGCTGTCTGTGAATTTGCCACATCCCCAAAAGCGAAGTTCGCAAATGAGATAACGTCACTTCCAAATGTTGGGTGCAATAAGACATAATATCAAGTCTCTGCGCTGTCTATTGCTGATTTTATACACCCCAACAGCACGAGATTTCACTTCGTCAAAGTATTGAAAGGGGACGGACGGACGGACGGAAGGACACATTAATCTATTGCAGGCTGGTACACTCAGTTTACAACCTCGTTCCTACCAGTATAAGGTTACCAGACCACTATCATTCACTGTGAAGCAGATGGCGCATTTTAATTTGTTGAATGCACCAGTCGCATTAACCAGGGTAGCCGATGGGGTTTTGGACCACAAACCTCCGAAACGAGCAGTTAAAGCGCTACTACCCAGTGTGAATATTTGAAGGCAAGGGGACTCCAGTCTAAAACTTGAGCGTAGATACAATAAATAAAAAATTCGGTGTTCAGTATCGCACAGGGTCGTGAACTGATAACGTCACACGTGGCTGTGTTTGACCGTGCATGCAGTTCCTGATGCTTTCAATAGACGTGAGGTTGAGTTTGAATTTCGTGCTTCTACTGCAGAATGCTTCTGCGGTTTCAGTGGACCAGGCTGTCCCGTGCTCTCCCTGACAGCTGAGAAATCAAACGGCGTGTTGCGGTTGACTTGAGCGGCTTTGTAATCCTACTACTACCTGGGGTTTGCAACTCCTGAGGCACACAAATTCCCAAGTCGTCGTCTCTCTTGAGGCCCTCCGCGCACCGACACACCGTGTCCTGGGCCACGGAGCAGTTCACAGCCGCCTCCTCGCCTGCGATTAGGAAACAACAACAAAAAGCATCCCAAGGGGGGTGAGAGGTGGTGGTTATATCGCCTAAATATGAATGTCGTGTCGTCATTTCAAGTTTTCAAGTTTTCATTTTTTAGGTATAGAGCCCTGTGAGCCACGCGGCTCTTGAGTCGGGTACAACCGCAACAAACAAAACATGAACAGAGAAACATCTTAAAGCGACGACGCGCAACAGAAGCATCCTGGGATGAACCTGCAAATCATCATCGTCATGAAACCTGCCACCACCATCCGACACAGCCAATCAGTGGAGGGGTTTGTCACGTAACACAAAAACGTTGCCAATTAGTTACTAGTTTCAGTACTAACCGGTGGGTCAACTCCGCAAGAGCCACGATTCCCCCACTACCCCTCCCCCGGAACACGCACACACACACGCAGCACACACACACGCAGCACACACACACACACGCAGCACACACACACAGCACACACGCAGCACACACGCATCACACACACACGCAGCACACACACACGCAGCACACACAAACAGCACACACACGCAGCACACACACACGCAGCACACACACACACACACAATACACACACACACACACAACACACACACACGCACACAGACACACACACAACACACACACACAGCACACACACACAGCACACACACACCACACACACACAGCACACACACACACACAGCACACACACACACACGCAGTGTCCCGGCGGGGGATCGCTTGGCACAACGGGTTTTCATCCGAAGGGCCCCTAGGTGGGAAGTCCCGTGGTTTCCCGGTGCCAGGAGGTTGGCCGACCCTCCCAGGACAAATCACCTTGGTGGCGCCCCTAAACTGGATTCAAATTGTAGGGGCGCACCAAGGTCCACCGGGCCAGCTGCGATGAGTTACGCACGACATCGGCAAAAGGGCTGGGGTGAAATGTTAAGTGAGCAGAGCAGACAGTGAGGGTGGGTGGGGGGGGGATCCTAGTGCCACCGACCAAGTACACACCGGGTGTGTATTTTTGCCAGCCGGACGCCCTCCCAGATATTAAACCGGCTGAGTCAGGGATTAATGGCCACGGGCGCAGAGACAATGGCCTGAACAATAACGTAACGTAACGTGACGCTCCACGTGAGGGCGGAGAATTCTTTGAAAATCACCGGTAGGCCGCACGATCGTCTGCGCAGGCTATAACGTTAACCCCGGATGGGTTTTTTTTTTTTTCCCGAAATCAAAGGGCCGTTAAAAAATGGGCGAAACCCGAAACTTGTTCAAGCGAGTTGTCTCATCCCCGACCCGCCTGGGCCGCCCAGACCGACTCCCCGCCCGCCTCCTCCTCCTCGAGCCGCCTGCAGCGCCCGCGCGACGCCGGCAGGGTGCGTCCGCGAGGTCCGCGACAGGGCGTGTGAGTATCTGGGGGGGGGAATTGGGGAGCGATGGGAGAGGCTCTAGCTCAGCGTCGGCGCAGTGTTTGCGACTCGAGTGTGCGGGGTCGTGCATGACCACCCGCCGCTGTAGTGTTAACCGTGGGGCGTGCGCGTCGCAGAGTTCGATCACCAGCGGGAGAGTGGGCGTTGCGTGGAATAGCCCCATGCGGCGGTGAGCCAGCCCATTTAGCTGGGGGCCCGGCGGTGAGCCGATCGAGGCCGTGGAGGAGGGAGGGCGGTGGGGTGGAAGCCGGCCCCCGCGGCCACCTCCTTTGAGGCTGTGAAGACGGCAGCGGTTTGCAACGCGGCCGATGGTTTTGGATTGATGGCCGCGATCGCCGGGCCCCACCGAATATTCCACGCGCTTCTGTGCGCATCAGGTGGCCGCATTGGCCATGCCCCGTCCTGATTCTGTTGATGGTCGGCCAGCGGCAGCGTGGATGGTTTGAAGCCGGGAGGCCGACGGAAGAATCCTGTACGAGAAGTTTACTTTTGATGTCGGCCTCAGTACAGACTTGCATGCGTCTCTTGGCTTGATTTGTATTCATGGCATGGAAGTCGTTGCCTGTGAATAAATCCTGCTGCGTCTTTGTGATGCATGATGCGACTAGCCAGACTGTTTAGCGTGGCCCTTGGAATCGGCGAGGATGTCCATCATCATAGGCCCTTGTGTCTCGAGAGGCAATTCTTTTTTGCGCCTTACGAGGTCAGCTGTAGGTTTTGCAGCGCCTAGAATGACTTAGTAGGCCAATCCTTGAGTGACAATCCTTGCCACGGCAATTGCAAGTGAATGCGGTGGCAGCTCCAGAGGCGTTTGTTGCTTTTTCTTGACGTCGCTCCCTCTTGGTCTGCCAAGCGGTGTGTCTCTTCTCCTCGCCTCTCCCGAGGCCCGTCTTCACAGCCTGCTGCCAGCTGAGTCGGTCGCCGGCAGTTTTCTCCCAGTCACTTGGGTAGATGTCGCAGCTCTTCACGTCCCGTTCACAGACATCTTTGAAGCGCGGGACCGGGCGACCAGTGACCCGTTTGCCTGATGCCAGCTCGCCGTACAAGACATCCCCTTGGGTATTCTCTCACCCTGCATGCGGTGCACGTGTCCAAGCCATCTTAGGCGCCTACGACTGAGCAGGGAGTACATGTTGGGAATGTTGGCCAAGTTGAGAACTGAGGTGTTGGGAATGCGATCTTGCCATCTGATATCGAGGATGCGCCTGAGACATCGGAGGTGGAATGTGTTCAGTCGATGTTCTTGATGGGCGTATGTTGTCCAGGACTCAGACAACATAGAGGAGGGTGCTAAGGACGCAGGCCCGGTACGCTTGTACTTTGGTGTTGAGTGTTAGGGATTTGTTCTCCCACACTCTTTGAGTCAACCTGAACGTAGCTGTTGACGCCTTCCCAATGCGCTCGTCAATCTCTGTGACAAGGGACAAATTGTAGTAGGTGATGGTAGAACCCAAGTAGGTGAAGTCCTGAACGACTTCCAGGGTTTAGCTGCCAACGCTTATGGAAGGGGTGTCTCTGACATCCTGGCCCATGACATTGTATCTTTTTTAGACTGATTGTCAGGCCAAAGTTGTTGGAGGCATTGGCAAGGTGGTCGATGAGTGTCTGCAAACCTTGTTCTGTGTGAGGATGTACCCTGGAATGTTCAATTGTAGAGTGCCGCTTTTCTCCACACGCGTCTTGGATACATTGAGGATGTGAATGTTTTCTTGCCGGATGATCTTTGTGAGGATGCATGTTTCTGCACGGAATAGGCTCTCAACATTTAGCTGGCATAGACGAACCGATGGGGCTGATGGAACTGCTCATCTGGCCCCGAGGAGGAGCTTCGTTGCCAGGCTCTGTTCTTTCCGCTGTAACCTCAGAGGTCGACTGGCAACAGACGGCTTCCTTAGTGATGTCGTTCGTTATGAACTTTGGTGTGGACTTCGTTCCACGTGACAGGGTGGGCCGCGAGAAGGCTGACATCACCCGCCCGCTGCTCTTAGAAGCTGCAGAGGTTTGAGTCTGGACAGAGTTTGGATGGGCGACCACCGCACAACTGAAAAATGCCAAAAAAGTTTTGCCTACTTTTCGACATTCCTTCCGGATTGCTGAAAAACCAAATCAACCGGTGCTTTTTTTGGCCACCTGACAACTTGAGTTTCTTTGTCGGGTGGTGGTGGATTTCAGGTTTTTTTTTTTAAATTGACTTCATACCAACACTATGTAACTTCAAAAACAAACTTATTGTGAGCAATATTGGTAGTAAAAGCGCATGTACACAGGTAAAACAGTCGCTACAGGCTGATGCATGGGCTTCATTATAGGCAGTTCAGCAAAAAAAAATAAACATTTTATTGTACTATGTGCCCATGCCTGCTTCTACCTTTCCCAAACCTGAAGTATGGTCAAATAACTCCAGTTAAAATAAAAAAATAAGACATTGGCACTAGAAATATATTGCTATAGAAGATCACTCTGCTGTGTCTAAGCTGCTGTATCCAAAGGATTCGCTAAACTCTTTTATATATATAAAAAAAGTATCTGCATGTGCGTGCTTGCGAGTGATTTGTCTCTCAACCGGTGGGGTTCACGTTCAAAAAAAAATTTGACGGGCAGCACGCCCTAAGCCCCACCGTGGGCATAGCCTAATTCCTTTCTCACGTCCGTCACCTTTACATTAGTTGAATTAGCGATGTAGTGGGATTTAGCTTTAGCTACTTATTTATGGCGTGACTTCGACCGTACCAACTCACGCCAATTGGGTGGGTGGGGGGGGGGGGGGTGGACCCTACCAAGTGATGCGTGTTCGGTCGAGCTCACATTTTGTTTGACGCGTTGAACATGCAATAAATATACACATAGCCCTGCGGCTATTTCTTCACAGTGTGATGTCCTCTTTACCCCTCACCCCCCCCCAACACAATGCGTGCAGGTTAATACTACAGAGTCCGTAGCTAATACTATTATAGTGTTATAATCTTAGTTCTTTCGGTAAAGTCACGTTGAAGGGAAACAACAAAATAATAAAATATATATTAAACAATATGTAAAAATAATATATACATATTTTATTATTTTGTTGTTTCCCTTCAACGTGGTGACTTTACCGAAAGAACTAAGAATGTGAATTACTGCAGTCACGAAAGCTTTAAATCAAAACTATTATAGTGCTTAGATAGCATTATTGTTGCACGGGCGGGGGGATGGTGGAGGGGGGGGGGGTAGCGGCCCAGCCCCCAGCCTGCCAACGTGCCACCTCCGCCGGCTCGGCAATGTAGGTCAGGACGGGGGCTCCACACGGGACTAGGCCTCACCACGGCTATGGTAAGTACAAGTTTCCTTGCTTCTTACGCTACAATCACGCACATACAAAACCGTTGTTTTATTCATCACCTTGGAAGTATTCTATTATTTTTGTTCATGTGCTCACAACAAGACGATGTATTGCTTACTTTCATCTTCATTATTTGTGTGAACTCGCGTTCAAATATCTGCTTTATTGTTGTGTGAACTCACGTTCTAATACACCTACTTTTTAAAATATCACCTTTCGATTATTACATTAGTTCTCTTCACTTACAGCTTTCGTGACTGCTGGATTTCAACATCTTTGCCTCTATCTCTTACGTCACATACCTACAAACATTTCAAGTAATTTTGCATTTATCACAATGCCATACACACCATAGTGTGTGCAAACAACAATTGTTTTTGCTTTGTAACTTGCCCATTCCTTTCATCTTCATTATTGTTTCAATTCACGTTGAAATTCACCTCTTTATGCAAATATAACCTTCCCATTATTACATTACATTACCTCTTTATGCAAATATAACCTTCCCATTATTACATTACTTCTCTTCACTACAGCATTTGTGACTGCAGGAATTCATATTCTTTGTCGCCTGGGTAAAACTACATGGCCGGGAGTCGGAGCCATTCCCTCTACACCTTCGACTGCGACAGGGATGTCCTCTGGTTTCCACATTATTTTACATATTTTTTTTACCACGTACTTAGTGAAGCCTTCAATCTGCTACAGATACAATGGGAGGCTGATCGATGCCCGGGTGCCGTCAAGGGATGCCTCCTTATTGCTCAACCATGTTATGTATGCCCATGATCTGGTAACAGCTGCTCACTCAGAGGACGAGTTGGAGGCCCTGCTGCTGAACCTGGAGCTTGCCACTAAGAGGTGGGCCCTTGCCATCAGCCCCACCAAAACTAAGCACCTGCCTTGGTTTTTTGTACCATTGGACACTCCACCCCAACAACTCCCAATTGGTGATGGGCCGGTTGTGGAGAGAGTGGAGAGTTTGCCATACCTGGGCAGTGTGCTCATTACCGGCTCCGGTTTGACAGCGGAGGTCTCACTCCGAATCAGTCGAGCGGCATTATCTTTTCATCGGTTGCGTAACGCTGTGTGGAAGCTGCCTGGTCTGTCACTCCGCACTAAGCTTCAGGTCTTCTCGGCCACAGTCATTCCCTCCCTTCTCTACGCATGCCAAACATGGACCCCCCTAATGGAACATCTTGACCGGTTACAAATATTTATGCTGGCCTGCCTACGATCCATCCTGGGCTTAACCTGCAGGCTGGATTGTGTGAGGAGCTCACAAATCCTTTAAGGCTGCGTTGGCTGGCCCATGTAGCCCACATTTCCAGCCACCGCATGCCTAAACGGCTTTTGTTCGGCCGGATCGAGGAGGCTAAACGGGCGCGGCACGGGCTAGAGAAGAGATGGAGTGATGTGGTACAGGAGGACGTAGAGCTGAGTGGACTTGCTGATGACTGGTACCAGTGCTCTCAAGATCGGCCTCTGTGGAGGAGGCTCGTGAAGGATGCTACTGGGCAGTTGGAGGCAGTCGCCCCCCAACAACAACGGGGGGCAGAGGAGCGACGCTCACAACAACGAGCGGAGCGCTAAAGCACAGCAAGTTGGCACAGTAGGGGGCACAGGTGGTGCATCAGCCAGTCATCTCAGTCATCTCAGTCAGTCGACCCGTGGCACCTAGGTCTGCCCCGTCACCTCCTGCAAGCGGGCGTTCGACACTTCACGTGGCCTCAAAGTGCACCTAGCTTGGCACAAGCGTCGTGGTGATGTTACCACCACTTAATCCCGAATGGCGGTTCTTGTTGTTATATGGTATTGTGTGATATTTTTTACACTTTTAATTGTTTTCTATCTGCGTAACTTTGCCGAAAGATACAATCAATGTACATTAATAATGTTTGTGTGCAGACAACAAATTTTTGTATTTTTTTTTGGTGCCAAATCATCTTCATAGAAACCAATTTTTTTCAATAATCACCTTGCTAATATTACAATCATAATGTTTGCGTGCCGACAAATGATATTATTGTTCCTTGCTTCTTCCACTAAACTCATGTACATAGAAAGCGTGTCTAAATCGATGTGTGTGTGTCTGCCTTTTTCGCCCGGGCAACGCCGGGTACTTACCGCTAGTATAGAATAAAAAGGTTGTATTGTAGTATAAGACAACCTGATGATGATGATGATGCTGATGATGATGCAGGGAGCGATGAGAAGGAAATTGACACTATTTGGAAAAATGGAAGGAAATGGAAAGAGAGGAAGTCCTAACAGATAACGGCTTGATGACATCGCAAGAGGGCGTTGCCAGAAAAATGTGCCACGACTTTAGCATATTGCCACAAGACGGAAGGTGGAAACAGCAAATGACGAAATTTTCAGTGAACACATACTACCATGGGCTATCTGCCCATGGATTGTAATTATGACGATACACTACACTACTAAACACTACACTACCAAACACTACACTATTGCACTATACACCACTGCAATACGCTCCACTCTACACCACTCATAAACTACAGTAGTATACACTACACCACTATGATGTGGCACTACAAGATAGGAAATTGGAAACGACCAATGATGAAATGTGCAGTGTGACCACCTACTACGGGCTATCTGTCCATGGATCCTGACGATGATGAAGCAATATCTATGCCGCATGCAAGAAGACACAATTCTGAAACGCACAATGCATAGAGAGGGGAAACGCCTACTCTGCTGTGCTGACACTCACCTGGCCCACAGCTGCTGCACCACGAGCACACCTTCTCCTGGTTGTCTCTGTCCATGAATGTGCCCTTAGGGCACGACTCACACATGGCAGCACGACCATTAGCTATGCAGTCCGACATCTTGTACATCCCTGAAGGACAAAGGAGTTGTTGTTAGAACACAGACAAAGATCTCCCTGTATAGCCTTTAACAGACTCTTGGGGCAGATGCTCTACCGCCTTTTTCTCCACCGGTGGCGTTGTTTACACACTGCACCAGGTAGTCATTTGAGTCTGAGTCGACCTAGGGGAGGCCCAGGTCCGGTTCAGATAATCGTCACTGGCGTTGGCCCTGAGCTGGAATTCAACACTGGTCACCGGGTTGGTAGCGCAGCGCGCTAACCGCTGCACCACCGCTCACACACACACACACACACGTGATCACAAGTTGGTTTTGGGAGTCACGGGCTGCACTGACTGTCAACCTGCGTTAGAGTTATGTGACGGGCAGTGGCTCAACTGAACACGAATTTCTTCAGTCATCATCACGATCCATGGGTTTTCCACCGCACATTTCGTCGTTTGTATCACGCATTCCTGAGCCTTGTCGTGCAAATACGGCGAAGTAGTGGCCACCCGCATGGGACGTGGGCAATCTTGCCTCTCCCGCTGGCATTATTATTTTACTACTATTCGCGTTAATCTGAGCTACTTTTAAGCTGTCTTTGATTTTTTTCAAAGTTCAGCACTTTATTAACTAGTTATTAATATGTTGCGATTTCGTTTTTGTCAAGAGCTTCTTACTTACAAGCTGGTGTTGCCGCCTTCCCTCATCGTCTCCATACACAGCCTGCCCAAGGGATCATGTTTGCAATAACCACAACACAAGAGTTGTACGCCTTTTGGCGTCTTCTGGTCCAACACCAGTGGAGAGACTAAGGGGCTCTAAGAAAAGCCGTCTCGGGTGTGGACCAATCAAATTCCAGGACAGTGCCAATATTATTATCAGAGTTGTCTTTTTTTTTGTTTGCATTATGACTGCTTGTGTTGTGGTTATTGCAAACATGATGCCTTGAATAAAGGTGTCAGTTTTTGTGCCAGTTAAAAGGGTAAAACATATTACTATATCTTGTTACTGGCAAAGGAGGTCTCATAATGTAAATGCTCACCCCGAGCCCTCAATACTCTGATTGTGCGCTGTTTTTGAGTTGTACGCCTTTTGGCGTCTTCTGGTCCAACACCAGTGGAGACTGGGCTCTAAGAAAAGTCGTCTCGGGTGTGGACCAATCAAATTCAAGGACAGTGCCAATATTATTATTATCAGAGTTGTCTTTTTTGTTTGCATTTTGACTGCTTGTGTTGTGGTTATTGCAAACATGATCCCCTTGAATAAAGGTGTCAGTTTTTGTGCCGGATAAAAAGGGTAAAAACCTATTACTGTATCTTGTTACTGGCAAATGAGGTCTCATAATGTAAGTAACAACAACACACTTATGCATTTCTTGTCGTTGTTCATCCGACGACACATGTGCGTCCAAATAGCACACCTGTCAACCCATATGTCTTACCGGGAAATTGAGTTTTCAGGTCCATACAGCGTTCAGCCGTTTCAATACAGGCAATTGTTGTGTCTATTTGTTGGTGTTTTGTTCGTTGTGATGGGATTTTGTCCTTTCAAATCTTAACGTTTATCCTACAAAGGGGTGACCAATAAGGTCTGAATGGACCTGTAATAAGGTAAGACACTGAGATAAGAGGTTGACAGGTATGAAATAGTGTCAGTTTCCCTTTGATCCCTGCCTGCATCATCATCATCATCAGGTTGTCTTCTTCTATGGCGCTACCTTTTTAATTGACTTCTACGTCGGTCAGCTCTTTGACGCAGCAAGTATCCACCTCGACAGCAATACATTTCTCAAGTGGCAACATCTCTCATTTCTCATTTCTCCAGTAACCACCAACCCCATAGCCTAGAATGCAGTGAGAGGAGCTGACTTGGGTGGAGGAACGGAAGCATCCGGTCACCACACTATGTCATTCCACAGAGGCGCGTAGATCGGAAGGCTCCGTGTCTCGTGTTGCTTTACCTGCACGGCACAGCTCACAGCAAACTCCTTGCGGTGTTTTGTAGAATCCATCGCCGCACTCCCCGGCGGAGGACAGTTGCTGCGGGAAAAGCATCTGCAGGGGAAGATTCGCGGCGGAATTGAGCGGCTGATTGTAGAGGGCAGAGCGACAGCTGCAAATTTCACATTCAGACGGAGCCACAGAGGCGAGTTCACTCGGCTGCACATGGGCCAATTCGGGGGCTCTCTCCCCCCTCGCCTTGCCCATTTTAAGGGAGGGCCTCGTTTGTAGTTGATGAGAGAGGCACAAAAACAAAGCGACCACCCCCCCCACCCACCGCCCACCAGGATGGCCCCACACACACTGCCGCATGCTGCAAGGGGGAAGCGCTGGTGGGGAGTGGTGGCGCAGCGGTTAGCGCACCGCACTGTGAACCCGGCGACCCGGGGTTCGATCCCCGCTCACAGCCATCACCAGTTGCGATTGTCTGAACCGGTCCCGGGCCCATCCCCCCAGGTCGACTCAGCCTCAAACGAGTACCTGGTGTAGCGGTGTGTGAACATGTTGCCGCTAGGGAGACAAAGGTGGCCACCCACTTCCCTCGTGTGACGTTACCGGCCTTCATAGGAGCTCGCTGACAGCACTTGCCCCGACAGTCTGGTAAGGCTATACGGGGAGTCGTTACCTTTGTCGTTACCTTTGTCGTGGTCGGCGCGTGGGCAGGACCACACCCCACGCCCACGTGCCAATGATGATAAGCACTACTACACCGTACCAGGTCTATCTGTGTGTTTAGTTGTTGTTGTTGTGGTTAAGGCTGAGTCGACTTCCGGGGGATGCAGGGTACAGGTACCAGGTGGTGGTGGGGGGGGGAGGGGTTTCTCGGAATTTTCCCGAGGTTGCAATCTCCGGACAGAATTCATTGAGTCTAGATGGAATGACACGTGGCTAAACATTCATCGGCGTCAATCAATGATTGATTATAATCAATCTGCTGCCTGATGAAGGCCTTACCCGAAGCCGTCTCAAATGTTTCACGGCTCTGCGATGCAAAGGATCCGCCAAACGCCGCGTTTCCAACATTTGGACGTACTTGTACCCCTGCTACTTACTCCGTGTTATTTTACCAGGCAAGGTTCACAATGAGTTGCTGTGCAGATTTGATTTCAGGAGCGACCTGGTCGTCACAAATTGATAGAAGCTCAAGCAAGAGGCGCAAAGCATAAAGCTACGCATGGAGACTCATAGAGATGCATAGAGACCCATAGAGACCCATAGATACACACAGAGACCTGTAGATACACACATAAACCAATGGATACACATAGAGACACATAGAGATACAGATACCCATAGATACACAGACACCCATGAATATACAGAGACCTTGAGAGATACAGATAGCCAAAGACACACACAGAGACCCATAGATACACACAGAGACCCACGGATACACACAGAGACCCACGGATACACACAGAGACACATAGACACAAAGAGACCCATAGATACACACAGAGACCCATAGACACGCACAGAGACCCATAGATACACACAGAGACCCACAGATACACACAGAGACCCACAGATACACACAGAGACCCATAGATACACACAAAGACCCATAGATACACACAGAGACACATAGACACACAGAGACCCACAGATACACAGAGACCCATAGATACACACAGAGACCCACGGATACACACAGAGACACATAGACACACAGAGACCCATAGATACACACAGAGACCCACAGATACACACAGAGACCCATAGCCCCACAGAGACCCATAGATACACACAGAGACCCAAAGATACACACAGAGACCCACAGATACACACAGAGACCCACAGATACACACAGAGACCCACAGATAAACAGAGACCCACAGATACACACAGAGACCCATAGATACACACAGAGACCCACAGATACACACAGAGACACAGATACACACAAAGACACATAGACACACAGAGACCCACGGATACACAGAGACACAGACGCACACAGAGACCCACGGATACACACAGAGAACCACAGATACACACAGAGACCCACAGATAAACAGAGACCCACAGATACACACAGAGACCCATAGACGCACACAGAGACCCACAGATACACACAGAGACCCACAGATACACACAGAGACCCACAGATACACACAGAGACCCACAGATACACACAGAGACCCACAGATACACACAGAGACCCACAGATACACACAGAGACCCATAGATACACACAGAGACCCACGGATACACAGAGACACAGATACACACAGAGACCCACAGATACACACAGAGACCCATAGACGTACACAGAGACCCACAGATACACACAGAGACCCACAGATACACACAGAGACCCACAGATACACACAGAGACACATAGATACACAGAGACCCACAGATACACACAGAGACCCACAGATACACACAGAGACCCACAGATACACACAGAGACCCATAGATTCACAGAGACCCACAGATACACACAGAGACACATAGATACACAGAGACCCACAGATACACAGATACTTATAGCCCTGCCACTCCGCCCCTGTTCGTGACCATCGGCCACAACGCATCACAGCGCAAGGCACTTCATTCATTAATTTTTTAAAAATCCTAATCTGGTTGTCAACCTGTTTTTTTGGCCACTTGTTGAATTTGCATTTCAAGCCGAGTCGTTGGGACCCCACCCTTGCCTGTCGCCCCAACGTGGTTCTGAGAAATAATGTTAAGGGGCCGTCCATAAATGACGTCACGCGATTTTGGACGATTTTTTTAAACCCCCCCCCTCTCGTCACACGACGTCACAAAAAGTCAGACACCCCCACCCCCTCAAATATGACGTCATAAAGCTCTGACCCCCCCCCCTCAAAAATAAAACACGCTTCAAATCGTATTCTTAGTTTTGAAAGGGAAACAACAAAATAATAAAATATATATAAAACAATAAAAAAATTCTCACGACGTTTCGACCATAACTCAAACGGTCATCTTCAGGTGTGTTGGTTTGCATAAATTTATTTTTAAACGGCGCATTTAATTATTTATAAAAAAAGTTAGCGCCACGAGCAACGATTTGGCAGTTATAAATAAATGCGCCGTTTAAAAATAAATTAATGCGAACCAACACACCTGAAGATGACCGTTTGAGTTATGGTCGAAACGTCGTGAGAATTTTTTATTGTTTTATATATATTTATATATTATTTTGTTGTTTCTCTTCAACGTGACTTTACCGAAAAAACTAAGAATACGAATTACTGCAGTCACGAAAGCTTTAAATCAAAATTTTACGCTTCAAATCGCTTTAAACTATTGTCATTGTAGTAGTTGCGTATTTAATGTGGCGCTGCACTCTGATATTGTTGGTAGAAAACATTTATTTAAAAAAGTCTATTTAATTAAGTATAACGTTTTGTTTATATTTATTTATAAAGTTGCCGCGTTTTGATGTGACGTCACATTTCTGAACCCCTCTACCCCCACCCCCACCCCTCGTCACACATCGTCACAAATGTCTGACCCCTCACCCCCAAGGTGCGTGACGTCATTTATGGACGGTCCCCTAATTATAATCAACATCAAAAATATTTTTTTTTTCACGAAATCGTCCAAGTGTTACGTGCGGCCATACGCCAACCCTTCAAAGTAACCGCTTGACTCTAGGAAGCCCGCAAGCGTTGTTTGACGGTGGATGAGTTCACAAACGTCTTCAATACATCCTTCCGGGCTGCCGTACGGATTGACGTTTTTTTGATCGCGAGTTATCTTACAGAGGAGACTGCAGACTCCAAATCCGCAGCAGCGAGGGCCCCGGGGGGGAATCGAGATCGAAACGACGGAAAACCTCCCTGCATCCCAGGTGAGGGCGATTCAATCACGCCATCGTGGCTGAACCAATGGGAGCGGGAGTGCAGAGTTTGACGTCACTGACCTCATGGCCACCCAGGTGTGTGGGCAGGGTGGTGACCTTTGAGCTGCCTTAGTGGACGGGTGTTTTTGTTTTTTTATCGCCGGTCCAAGTGTCCAAGTGTCCCCGGGGGGGGAGTTGTAATGGCGGGCCTCCGGGTGGGTCGGCGAACAGCCTCATCGGGGGTTGACGGCTCATCGTGACGCCGGTTTTGCTCTCGTCCTCCTCCTCGTCCTCGTGGTCGTCGTCGTCGTCGTCGTTGTGAATTGCCGGAGAAAAGTCACGGTGCACGATACGTAGACGTCGCGAGTGGCGTCGCCGTTTCGTCAGCGAAGTTGAGCTTGCAGGTCCATACGGCGTTGAGCTCTTGCTCAAACAATGCTCTTCATATTCGTTGGGTCTTTCGGTCAAGTCACGTGGATAGGTTCAAAGAAAATAACAAAATAAAATTACGAAAAAAAAAGCTACGACCACGTTTCGATCACAACACGAGCGATCTTTTATTTTGTTTTTTTCCTCCTGATGGCGATCGCTTGTTATTTTCTTTGAATCAATCCACGTGACTTTAACGAAAATACCCAAAGAATGTGAATTCCTGCCATTCACGAAAGCCTTATTTAAGTCAAGAAAAGCCTTATTTAAGTCAAGAAAAGCCTTATTTAAGTCAAGAAAAGCCTTATTTAAGTCAAGAAAATCCTTATTTAAGTCAAGAAAAGCCTTATTTAAGTCAAGAAAAGCCTTATTTAAGTCAAGAAAAGCCTTATTTAAGTCAAGAAAAGCCTTATTTAAGTCAAGAAAAGCCTTATTTAAGTCAAGAAAATCAAATATTGAGCGTGGTACAATTCGAGCCGTAAAAAAAAAGGATTGTTTAAAAATATATTTACATTTTTTAATGATACAACACAGTCTTGTCATCAGTATGACATAAGTATACCAAGTTTTCAGTCGATACCACATTGGGAAGATGTTTGAAATTGAGTTACAAGATTTGAGGATACAACAGACAGTAAGTTAAATAAAAGCGTGTATAAAATGTTTAAAATATATATTTTTAATTTTAACGATACAACACAGTCTTATCGTCAGTATGACATAAGTATACCAAGTTTTCAGTCGATACCACATTGGGAAAATGGTTGAAATTGAGTTACAAGATTTGAGAATACAACAGACAGTAAGTTAAATAAAAGCGTGTATAAAATGTAAAAAAATATATCTATATTTTTTTAATTTTAACGATAGAACACAGTCTTGACATCGGTGTGACATAAGTATACCAAGTTTTCAGTCGATACCACATTGGGAAGCGGGTAAAAAATTTAGTCACAAGATTTTTTGAGGATAGGACAACACACTGAGTGAGTTAAATAAAAGCGTGTAGTAATAAAAAACAATGGTCTTTTTGTGTTTCTCCCACCTCATTGGACTTTGTCGTATGAGCTGTGAGATTTATGAGGGCATTGGGTGAGCAACGAGGTCTGAATTGGTCTGTAAAATGGGAGGCGCTAATAAGAGGTGGACATGTATTGGTATTTTTCCAAGTAAGTAAACGATCCGGGTTTTCTCGATTTTATCAACTGCGCCATCTCTGCTGCTTGTTTACGTTCAGTCGGCTTCTTCTTTTCTCTGCCGACTTCTCTGGATTCATCTGAATAAAATCTCAATCGCGGAATGAATACCTGCCAACCCCTTATCAGTGCCCCTCCCTACCTTATTACAGATCAATTAAGACCTTATTGGTCACCCCCGTACCCCTTTATTAATCTCAAAGTTCATCCTACAAAGTCCCATCGCAAGGGGAGAAACGCAAACAACTAGACAGTCACCACCACTGCACTCACAACTAGTACACACACCGCTACTGCCTGCATCAACTCCTAATCAGTACCCCTACCTACCTTATTACAGACTAACTAAGACCTTATTGGTCACCCCCGTGCCCCCTTATAAATCTCAACGTTCATCCTACAAAGTCCCATCACAATTAGAGGTCTGAATTGGTCTGTAAAATGCTAATTCCTTTGTCAAGGCGCTTTGTTTCCTCTCACACAGCTTAAAGGTCGTGATCTGAACGTGGCTTTTTTTAACTCCAGCGCTGTCCTACCAGACAGTCTCGTCCCTTCACCTGATGAAGGCCGCTTGTGTTGTGGCCGAAACGTCGTGAGAATATTATTGTGTTATTTTATTTTATCAATTTATTATTTTATTCTCATTCCACGTGGTGGTGGTGACTTTACCGAAAGAACCAAAGAAGAAAAAAACAAATACTGTGGTTTTTTTGTTTTGCCCGTAGCGAAACGGCTGTATGCTGTGTGGACCTGAAAACTCAATGTCCCTGTAACAAGATCACGGAGCGAATCGTATGAATAGGGAGTACACGGTATGTATACTTGCTCTTGTTTCTTTCAGTAAAGCCACGTAGGTAAAGCAAAATAATAAAAACAAATAAAATAAATAAACATAGAAATAAACTAAAAGATATTAAAAAAATAAGTTAAATTAAATCACGACATTTCCATCGCAACACAAGCAATCGTCATCGATGATGATTTGCTTGTGTTGCAACGATGATTTGCTTGTGTTGCTACCGAAAGTCGTCCTTTTAATTATTAATCTTTTATTTTTCGATTTAAAGCTTTCGTGACTGCAATGATTCATCTTCTTTGGTTCTTTCGGTAAAGTCACGTAGAATGATAATAAAATAATAAATTGATAAAATAAAATAACACAATAATATTCTCACGACGTTTCGGCCACAACACAAGATGAAGGCCGCTTGTGTTGTGGCCGAAACGTCGTGAGAATATTATTGTGTTATTTTATTTTATCAATTTATTATTTTATTATCATTCTACGTGACTTTACCGAAAGAACCAAAGAAGATGCATCTTTTATTTTATTTATACCTTTCATCGCCTACGTGACTTTACCAAAAGAACCAAGCGTAAGGATGCTTGCAGTCACGAAAACTTCAAATCTACAATAACCCGTACGTGTTGACAGTTGTGTAGTGGGGTTACTTTCCAACACAGAAACACGACCGGTTGGGTACTGAAACTAGTAACTCATTGGCTACGTTTTTAGTGTTACCTGACAAACCCCTCTTACTGACTGGCTGTGTCGGGTGGTGGTGGTGGTGGCTTGCACGACGACACAACATTAATAATCACGCGATATAACCACAACCTCTGCCCCCCCCCCACCCCCCCCCCAAAAAAAATTATATAAAACTCTTACGGAAGTGAAGTACAGGTTGCAATTACGCTCCAGAAATCTTGATTTGAAGCTTTCGTGACTGCAGGAATGAATCCATACTCTTTGGATCTTTCGGTAAAGTCATCACGTAGTTGGAAAAGCAAATAAATCACGACGTTTCGATCGCAACGCAAGCGGTGTTTCGAGAGAACCCATGGGGCCCCAAAGAGATCCGGAGATCATCGTCACGTGGAGAAAAATCCACGCGACCATATTGTCGAGAGAGAGAGAGGGAGAGAGACACGCAAATTCTAAATAAACAGCAGCAGCAGCAGGCGTCGTCGGTCGGCATCGAACCCACGACATTCCCTGTGTACCAGGCGAGGTGGTTAACATCTCCTAGCCACCACCGTGACGATGACGAAGGTGAGTGAATGAGGAGCGGTTGTCCTCACCATGAGAAACAGACGGAGCATCGCTGTCCAGGGGGTCATGAGGATCTCCTGCCACTCGTCACGGACTCCGCTCAGTCTCCCAGTCGCTCGCCTCACTTTGCTGGCCGCCTGTCATGTGCGTCGAGTGTGAGTGTCTGAGTGTGTGTGAGTGACATTGAGTGTGTGTGTGTGAGTGTGTGTGAGATTGAGTGTGAGTGTGTGTGTGAGTGAGATTGAGTGTGTGTGTGTGAGTGTGTGTGAGATTGAGTGTCTGAGTGTGTGTGAGTGAGAGATTGAGTGTGAGTGTGTGTGTGAGTGTCTGTGTGTGTGTGTGAGATTGTGTGTGTGTGTGAGTGTCTGTGTGTGTGTGAGATTGAGTGTGAGTGTGTGTGTGAGTGTCTGAGTGTGTGTGAGATTGAGTGTGTGTGTCTGAGTGTGTGTGAGATTATGTGTGTGTGAGTGTCTGTATGTGTGTGTGTGAGATTGAGTGTGTGTGTGAGATTGAGTGTGAGTGTCTGAGTGTGTGTGAGATTGAGTGTGAGTGAGTGTCTGAGTGTGTGTGAGATTGAGTGTGAGTGTCTGTGTGTGTGTGTGAGATTGAGTGTGTGTGTGTGAGATTGAGTGTGAGTGTCTGAGTGTGTGTGAGATTGAGTGTGAGTTTCTGTGTGTGTGTGTGAGATTGAGTGTCTGAGTGTGTGTGAGATTGAGTTTGTGTGTGTGAGTGTCTGTGTGTGTGTGAGAGATTGAGTGTGAGATTGAGTGTGAGTGTGTGTGTGAGATTGAGTGTGAGTGTGTGTGTGAGATTAAGTGTGAGTGTGTGTGTGAGATTGAGTGTGAGTGTCTGTGTGTATGTGTGAGATTGAGTGTGAGTGAGTGTCTGAGTGTGTGTGAGATTGAGTGTGAGTGTCTGTGTGTGTGTGAGTTTGAGTGTGAGTGTCTCTGTGTGTGTGAGATTGAGTGTGAGTGTCTGTGTGCGTGAGATTGAGTGTGAGTGAGTGTCTGAGTGTGTGAGAGAGATTGAGCGTGAATTAGTGTTTGTCTGTGTGTGAGATTGAGTGTGAGAGTGAGTGAGTGAGAATGAGTGTGTGGATAAGCGTGAGAGTGATTGAGTGAGTGAGTGTGAGAGTGAGTGTGTGGATGAGCAAGAGTGAGTGAGAGTTAGTGAGAGAGAGTAATTGAGTGGGTGAGTGAGTAAGTGAGAGAGTGAGTAGGTGTGTGGATGATAGTGAGTGAGAGTGAGTGAGAGTGAGTGAGAGTGTATGGATGAGAGTGAGAGTGTGTGGATGAGAGTTAGTGTGAGTGAGAGTAAGTGAGTGTAAGCGAGAGTGAATGTGTGTATGAGCGAGAGCGAGAGTGAGTGAGTGTGTGGATGAGCGTGAGAGTGATTCGACTGGGATAAAAACGCGAGTGAGCTCCGCTTGGTCTTGTTCGTCTTCAACAAGCAACGCGACCCTTCCCGAATCAAATTTAAAACCCTGCACTGCGTTATAAAATAAAAAAATAAACACCTGCCGCTTATCACGAAATATGCGGTCAGGTGAGCGTGACGTCAGTCGTGAGTTGCGCTAAGAGAAGGGAGTGGCAATGTACAAAGACAAAGGTTCTTCCCCGGTGTAGCCTGTAACAGACTGTTGGGGCAAGTGCTGTTAGCAGCAGCGCCTATGAAGGCTACCGGCACTACGGCACTCGAGTCGAGGGGGTGAGTTGGCCAGCACCAATCTCGCCCGCCCGCCCGCCCGTCCGCCTTTGTCTCCCCGGTGGCGATGTTTAGCGCGCACCACTGCAGCAGGTACTCGTTTGGGTCTGAGTCGACCTAGGGGAGGCCCAGCACCGGTTCATCTATTCCACCGGTGGTGGCGGTGGCGGTGGCCGTGGCCGTGGGCGGGAATCGAACCCGGGTGTTAGGCCCGGTTGGTCGCGTAGCGCAGCGCGCTAACTGCTGCGCCACCGCTCCTCACGTGGTTATGCACGCGTGGAATGCGAGGAATGCCCAGCGCCTCCTTCCCAGATGTGTATCTGCACCAAGGCCGTAATCTATATATATACATGTGTAAAAGGCAGAAGTTGTGATTATGTGTTGAAAATGTTTTAGCGTACTTCCCGACATGCAACAAACTTGAAATTTGGCACGTGGGTACTTTGCAGACTGTACACCATGCAAACATTATAAAAATAAAACTTTTGGATATTTTTTTTTGGGTGGGGGGGGAGGGGAGCTCATTAATGCATTTATTTTTTGCACGGGAAGTGAGCTGTGACGTCAATTCTGTCACGTGACTCGCGCACGTGGAAGCGTGACGCATTGTAGTGGAGTGGTTTGTGTGCTGTCTGTGTGTGTGTATCTGTGTGTGTGTCTGTGTGTGTGTATCTGTGTGTGTGTCTGTGTGTCTATGTGTGTGTGTCTGTGTGTGTGTCTGTGTGTGTGTCTGTGTATGTGTTTGTGTGTGTCTGTGTGTGTGTGTCTGTGTATGTGTGTCTGTGTGTGTCTGTGTGTGTGTGTATGTGTGTGTGTGTCTGTGTGTGTGTGTCTGTGTGTGTGTCTGTGTGTGTGTGTCTGTGTGTGTGTATCTGTGTATGTCTGTGTGTGTGTCTGTGTGTGTGTGTGTCTGTGTGTGTGTCTGTGTGTGTCTGTGTGTGTGTTTGTGTATGTCTGTGTATGTGTGTGTGTCTGTGTGTGTGGGGGGAGCAGTAGTGTAGTGGTTAGCGCGCTGTCTGTGTGTGTATCTGTGTGTGTGTCTGTGTGTGTGTCTGTGTGTGTGTGTCTGTGTGTGTGTCTGTGTGTGTGTCTGTTTGTGTGTCTGTGTGTGTGTGTGTCTGTGTGTGTGTATCTGTGTGTGTGTGTGTCTGTGTGTATGTATCTGTGTGTCTGTATGTGTGTCTGTGTGTGTGATGGGGCAGTTGTGGAGAGAGTGGAGAGTTTCCCATACCTGGGCAGTGTGCTTATGACTGGCTCCAGTTTAACAGCAGAAGTCTCACTCCGAATTAGTCGAGCGGCAATATCTTTTCATCGGTTGCGTAACGCTGTGTGGAAGCTACCTGGTCTGTCGCTCCGCACTAAGCTTCAGGTCTTCTCGGCCACGGTCATTCCCTCCCTTCTCTACGCTTGCGAAACGTGGACCCCCCTAATGGAACATCTTCGCCGGTTAGAAACATTTAGGCTGGCCTGCCTACGATCCATCCTGGGTTTAACCAGACTGGATTGTGTGAGGAGCTCACAAATCCTTGAAAGATCTGGGCAGGGTCCCATCGGTGAGCTCCTCCGGCAGGCAAGGTTGCGATGGCTGGGTCATGTAGCCCGCATGCCCAGCCACCGCATGCCGAAACAGCTTTTGTTTGGCCGGATTGAGGGGGCTAAGCGGGCGCGGCACGGGCTAGAGAAGAGATGGAGTGATGTGGTACAGGAGGACGTGGAGCTGAGTGGACTTGCCGATGACTGGTACCAGCGGTGTCAAGATCGGCCTCTGTGGAGGAGGCTCGTGAAGGATGCTACTGGGCAGTTGGAGGCAGTCGCCCTCCAACAACAACGGAGGGCGGAGGAGCGACGCTCACAACAGCGAGCGGAGCGCCGGGTGGCTAAAGCACAGCAGGTTGGCACAGTAGGGGGCACAGGTGGTGCATCAGCCAGTCATCTCAGTCAGTCGACCCGTGGCACCTGCTGGGTCTGCCCCGTGACCTCCTGCCAGCGGGCGTTCGACACTTCACGTGGCCTCAGGGTGCACATAGCCTGGCACAAGCGTCGTGGTGACGTCACCGCCACTTAGTGGCGAATGGCGGTTGTTGTTGTTGTTGTGGTGGGGAGTGGTAGTGTAGTGGTTAGCGCTACGCCGCGCTATGAACCCGGCGTCCCGAGTTCGATTCCCGCTCACGGCCACCACTGGTGACGATTATCTTAACCAGTCCTGGGCCTCCCCTAGGTCGACTCAGCCTCAAACGAGTAACTGGTGTGCTGTGTGAACATCGCCACTGGGGAGACAAAGGCGGCCGGGCGTGGTGAATCCAAGTCCCGGGCATAAGCCTCTCACACAGCTTAAAAGCCGTGATCTGAACGTGGCTCTCTCACTCCAGCGCTGTCCTACCAGACAGTCTCGCTCCCTTCACCTGATGAAGGCCGCTTGTGTTGTGGCCAAAACGTCGTGAGAATATTATTGTGTTATTTTATTTTATCAATTTATTATTTTATTCTCATTCTACGTGACTTTACCGAAAGAACCAAAGAAGATGAATCATTGCAGTCACGAAAGCTTTAAATCGAAAATTATTGTTAAACATAAATAAAAAAAATGTCCATCCCGTGTGTTAGTGAATTTTTTAAAAATATATTTTAGGAAGGAAATGAATTTTTTAATGTCGATATTTCTCTGGGTTGGGACCCCCTCCCCCTCCCAATGTTGACTCCATGGCTACGGCCTTGATCTGCGCAGAGACTAAAACTAACTAACATTCGTGTTCATTTGACCAGGTGTAAGGCCCCAACCGAGCTACTGTGTAGCCATTTTATCGGAAGTGACCTGGCCATCACCTTCGGGCTACTATCAAAGGTTTGTTCATGAAGCCATCCAGGTATATAAACGTAACTTCAACCCGTGAAGATGGATACAAATTAAGCAATCATTGGAAGGACGTCATTAACCAGGTAAAAATCCTGGACGGCTTCATGGCTGTTGCCTTCATATCCGCGTCTCCAGTTTCTTCATCCTCCCACTCCCAGCCACGCCCACTCCCAGCCCCGCCCACTTCCCCCCGCCTCCCCCTCCCCCGCTGTCTCTCCTCCCTGGCTCCTCCCCCCCCTCTCTCTGACCTATAAAGCCTCTTGTCACGGCAGCCCTTTTGCCCACTTCAGCAAATTGTTTATTGCTGCGGTCGTCCCACCCGGCGACGGACGCTTGTGTTGCACCCGAAACGTCGTGATTTAGTTTATTTTATTTATTTTCTACCCAACTACGTGATGACTTCACCGGAAAAAAAAACCAAAAACACAAAGAGTATGGATCCCTGCAGTCACGAAAACTTCAAATCACAAATGGTAGGAGCTCAACAAAGTGGCTGATATCATCAGCACGTGGAAAATGTATGGCGGGCAGCCAAATAACTCTAAATGCGTGGTGATGTTGGTTCTGAATGTGGATGGGAGAACCGGAGGACCCGGATAAAGATCCACGCGACCACGGGGAGAGAAAGAGAGAGTGACATGCAAACTCCAAATATGCAGTAGGCGTCATGGCCGGGATCGAACCCATGACCTCCTGTATACCGGGCGAGGCAGATGACATCTTGCCACGTAATTATTTTATTCATGAATGTGTTTTTTTACGTTACGTGGATTGTTGACATGAACTTAGCAATGTCGTTCTTTGATGCAGTCGATGTTCGGTAAATAACCCGTCTCATTTTCATAGGCCTAACTGAGGCGTGGCGGTCCGATTGAGTTTGGCGTCCCCGCTCGTGACGCATGACGTTGATTTTAAATGTAGAGGGAAAAACCCGGAGGCATTCTCAGAGTCGCTATCGAACCCATACCAGACGAGGAAGTTGATGTCTGCCTCACCGCCTTGGCAACAAATGAACGAATGTGATTGGCGATGTTGGTTCAATACAAGCGAAACTCTGGACTGGTTTCGACATCGAGTGTCTGGGCAATATAGTCAGGTGCGTTTTTTTTACCATTGTGTAGGGGACTGAATAGGGAATAAAACGTTCCATGGAGCTACTAAAGATTTATAAAAAAAATACTAGCAGGAAGTAGCCGGCTTTTCACGGGGTAAAAAATGTATTTCAAACTTATCTTAAAAAAAAACATCGGTTATACATACACAAATACTAGGCTGTTGTGAAAGCCCGGTGTTCCGTTTGTCTATCCATTTGTCCGTCAGAAGGAATTATAAGAGCCTTTCCGAAGTCCTGAATCAAAAAGTAATAGATGGTGGGGGGGGGGGGGGGGGGTAAATAGTTGATCTAAAATGTTTCCAAAAATTGTCAACCCTCACCCAAAATCATTTGACCGCCCCCAGGAAATTTGTATCTTGTAGACATGTATACCTTACACGACCTACATACAATAGAGTCAGCAGTATCTAGTGACTCTGTAGTAGTAGTACCTATTGATAATACAGAAGTATATACTGACTCTACAATAGTATATACTGACTATCGTAGTAACCACCGATGGTATTGTCGTAAAAAAACTGACTGAAATCTAGATTTGAAGTTTCCGTGACTGCAGGGATCCATGATCTTTTGGTTCTTTCGGTAAAGTCACGTGGGGGGGGGCATAAAATAAAATCAGCTAAATCACGACGTTTCGGGCGCAACACAAGCGTCCATCATCAGGTGGGGACAGCCACAGCAATCAACTTATTGCTGAAGTGGGCAAAAAGGGGGTTTGCTTGTAACAAGAGGCTTTATAAGTAAGAGAGGGGGGATGGGGGGGAGGAGGAGCCAGGGTGGAGAGATAGAGAGAGTTGGGGACGTGGGGTAGGGGGAGTGGAGAGGTGCGAGCTCCAACACCGAGTAGAACACAATGCCGGGGCTGGTGGGTAGGAGGCTGAAGAACTGGAGATGCAGATAGGTATTGAGGCAAACTATGAAGCAGTTAAGGTTGTACCTATAATCTTAGTTTTTTCGGTAAAGTCACCACGTTGAAGAGAAACAACAAAATAATATATAAATATATATAAAACTATAAAAAAAATTCTCACGACGTTTCGACCATAACTCAAACGGTCATCTTCAGGTGTGTTGGTTTGCATATTTTTTTTTAAACGGCACATTTATTTATTTATAAAAAAAACGTTAGCGCCACGCGCAACGATTTGGCAGATTATTTAGGACTAGTCCATCTATATTCTGAAAAGAGGAGGGGGGAGACGAATTTTTTTTTATAATGTATGCTGTCTGAAAGCCACTGTAAGCGTGAACAATCAATTAAGAACTGAAATGGTTTATCAAATCTTTCCAATGATTGCTAAGATAGAATCCATCTTCTCGGTTGAAATTGTCTCTGTGCTTGTATATGTGGATAGCCTCATGAACGAATCTCTCATGTACCTGTGAAAACCTTAACACCCCCACTCGCTCTATCCCTCCTCCTTGGCTCCTCCCCCCCTCCACCCCCCCTCCCCCTTACTTATATAGCTCTCGCTGCGATTTTGGACGATCACATGACGTCACAAAAAGTCAGACCCCCCCTCAAATATGACGTCACAAAGCTCTGCCTCCCACCCCCCCACCCCCGCCCAAAAAAATATATGAAACATGCTTCAAATGGCTTTAAACTATTGTCACATTGTAGTGCGTATTTAATGCGGCGCTGCACCTTGATGTTGTAGGTAGATAACATTTGTTTAAAAAAGTCTATTTAATTAAGTAGAACGTGTTCTTAGTTCTTTCGGTAAAGTCACGTTGAAGGAAAACAATAAAATAATAATATACATAAAACAATATATATATGCAATATATTTTATTATTTTATTGTTTCCCTTCAACGTGACTTTACCGAAAGAACCAAAAATATGAATCACTGCAGTCACGAAAGCTTTAAATCAAACTTTAAATAGAACGTGTCGTCTGTATTTATTTATAAAGTTGCGCAATTTGATGTGACGTCACATTTCTCAAACCCCCCCCCATCCCCTCCCCCCCCTTCGTCACAAACGTCTGACCCCCCACCCCCCCCTCCCCCAGGTGCGTGACGTCATTTATGGACGGCCCTTAATGGTCATCAGTGACACGATACTAAAACCCACTTGGCCGCATTCCAGGTGACCGTTTACCGGAAGTACTGAAGCGATCTCCGTATATGGCCAGGCCAATGTGATTCGTTTGTTCGAAGTGACATTTGTTCCAATGAGGCGCTTTGTGAAGACCGGCAAACGATCACCGCCAACGATGTTCGACAAAGATTGGTGACAAGAGACAGACTGACTGAGACACTCGTTCATACTCACACACACACACACAGCCCCCCAATCTCACACACACACACAGACATCCATACTCTAAAATCACACTTCTTACAGAGACACTCTCAAACCCACACACACACACACTCACCCACTCACTCACCCACTGTGAAATACACACACACACCCACTCACTCACCAACCCCCAAATACACACACTCACCCACTCACTCATCCACCCCCAAATACACACACTCACCCACTCACTCACCCACTCACAAATACACACACTCACCCACTCACTCATCCACCCTCACAGACACACACTCACCCACTCACTCACCAACTCCCAAATACACACACTCACCCACTCACTCATTCTCAAATACACACAGTCACCCACTCACTCACCCACCCCCAAATACACACACTCACCCACTCACTCATCCACCCTCACATACACACACTCACTCATCCACTCTCAAATACACACACTCACCCACCCACTCATTCTGAAATACACACACTCACCCACTCACTCATTCTCAAATACACACAATCACCCAATCACTCACCCACCCCCCAAATACACACACTCACCCACTCACTCACCCGCTCTCAAATACACACATTCACCCACTGTCAAATACAGACACCCACTCACTCATCCACCCTCACATACACTCCCTCACATACACTCACCCATTCAATCTCTCACAACCACATTGAATCCTACACACGCTCATCCAATCTCAAATACACACACTCACTCATTCACTATCAAATACACACACACACTCACCCACTCACTCATTCACTATCAAATACACACACTCACCCACTCACTCATTCACTATCAAATACACACACTCACCCACTCATTCATCCACACTCAAATACACACACTCACCTACTCACTCATCTACCCTCACATACACATACACACACTCACCCACTCAATCTCTCAAACAAACACACCCACACTGAATCCTTCAAACGCTCAAACACACACACACCGATCCACGCTCGTCCAGCCTGAATCTCACACGCACATTCCTACTCACCCACACTCAATCACACACACACACAACAGCCTCAGCAACCCAATCACCCGCTCGACATCTCACACACTCAAATGCACCCCAGCACATATCGATCCACTCACTCGTCCACACTAAAGCCTCTCTCACACACACACAACACAACACAAACACACTTCCATTCAATCGCAAGACCGACGGTCAACGCGTTAACGAGAGACTGTGACGAGGAGTCTGTGACGAGGAGAGGAGAGCGTCATGACCCCGGGGACAGAGACGCTGCTCTTATCACAGCTACTGGTGAGGACGAACGCTCATCGTTCATTCACCACCATCATCATGGGCGTCGCGGTGGCTAGGAGATGTTGACTACCTCGCCCGGTGTACAGGGATGCTGTGTGGGTTCGCCTGCTGCTGGAATATTTTCAGTCTGCGTCTTTCTCTACCTTTAGGTGGTCGCGTGGATTGTTCTTACCGGGTCCTCCACATTTAGAAACACGCGATTGGAGTGATTGGCTGCTTCTATACATTCCCGCGTGATAAGCCACTCCGTTGAGCTATCATTTGTACCTGTTAACATAACAAGATTTTTTTTAAATTTTGATTTCAAGCTTTCGTGACTGCAGGGATTCATATTCTTGGTTATTTCGGTAAAGTCACCACCACGGAGAAGGGAAACAATAAAATAATAAAAATATGAAACATTAAAATTCTCACGAAGTTTCGACTGCAACGCAAGCAATCATCATCAGGTGTGAAAACCACAGCAAGAAAATTTTTAAAAAGTGGTGTTTTTTTTATAACGTTAGCACCACGGAGAGAGATTTGACAGTTTTGTTCAGATGGACGAGTCCATCTATGTTCGGAAAAGAGGAGGGGGGAGACGAAAATAATGGATGTGGTCTGAAAGCCAACCATAGCGTGAACAATCAATTAAGACCCGAAATGGTTTATCAAATCCTTCCAATGATTGCTAAGCCAGAATCCATCTTCTCGGTTGAAATAGTCTCTGTGTATATATGTGGATAGCCTCATGAACGAATCTCTCATGCTGGCCAGATGGCTTGCAAAGAACCTCTGTCTTGGAGAAGTCAATGTCACGTGAGCCTACTGAATTATAACAGTGATCTGCCATGGCTGAGGTGTTGGTCCTACCGTGTTTTAGGTCTGCTTTGTGTTCACGGATGCGGTCCGAGACATGGCGTTTGGTTTCTCCAATGTAACTACTACCACAGAGGCAACTTAGTTTGTAGACGCCAGGGTACTGTATGTCCGGAATCACATCTTTTACAGACGTAACCAGATCACGGATTTTATGTAATGTGTTAAATCGGACCTGGATCTTGTGTTTATTCAAGATTTTGGATATCTTTTTTGTGATCCCTGCAATGTAGGGTAAAGTGATGGTTTTGAATGGCTCCTCAAGAGGGTCCTTCTTCATGGTTGGAGTGATGGCTTTGCGGATTGTATAGTCGGAGTAATCATTAGCCTTAAGAGCTTGGTGTACGTGCTTGAGTTCACTGGCTATGTGTTCCTGGTCGGATATGCATTGGGCTCTATGGTGCAGAGTCTTGATGAGGGAATTCTTCTGGGATGGATGGTGGTGGGAATCCGGTTTCAGGTAAGCATCTGTATGGGTAGCTTTCCTGTAGACAGAGTGGCTCATTGAACCATCAGGTCCCTTTTTTTATTAGGACATTCAAAAAAAGGTGGCTTGCCATCTTTTTCGACTTCCATGGTAAATCTGATGGCTGGGTGTATGGAATTGATGTGGTCGAGGAATTGGTCTAGAGCAGGCCGGCCATGTGGCCAGATGACAAAAGTGTCATCCACTTACCTCTTCCATAAGGTTGGACGCAGAGTGGCAGTCTGGATGGCGTCAGTCTCAAATTTATCCCTGAAAATGTTGGCTACAACCGGAGATATGGGGGAGCCCATTGGGGTGCCCTCAGTTTGTTTTGTAGAAAGTTCCATTCCAAGTGAAGTATGTATTGGTTAAGCAGTGTCTCACCAGGGGGGGGTACCTCAGTGTTTAGTCCTTGATGAACCAAGTCTTCAATGATTGTGATGGTGTCAGGTACAGGAACCTTGGTGAATAAGGAAACTACATCAAAACTGACAAGCAGGTCGTCTGGGGCCAGGGGAATACCCTTGATTGTCGATACCAGGTGAGTATAATTTTGTACTGCAGAGGTGGTTTTCCCAGTGAAAGGCCGCAGGATTTCAGACAGAAAACGAGCCAGTTTGTAGGTGGGGGAGTTGATAGTAGAGACGATGGGACGATGGGGTGTATCTACTTTATGTATTTTTGGTAAGCCGTATAATCTTGGTGGCCTGGCAGCAGAAGGATTCAACGATAACTGTTTGGTTTGATCAATTCATGCGGTTGGTAGCTATACAAAAATAAAAAAAGAGATCCCACCAACAGCCTCGTCATACAAACCAACAAAATCATTTCTGCTGTAAAAATGTTCGCGTGATGATGATAGCAGCCACTTCGTTGAGCCGCTATCATTTGTGATGGCTGGTAAAATAAAATTTAGTTGGAGTTGACACAGGTGGCCGTGGGTGAAACGTAGGTGGCTGTATTTTTGTTGTTCTTATTGATCAAAGTTAGTTGGTGTTGACACAGGCGGTCGTGGGTGAAATGTAGGTGGCTGTATTTTTGTTGTGTTATTGATCAAAGTTAGTTGGTGTTGACATACGCGGTCGTGGGTGAAATTTAGGTGGCTGTATTTTTGTTGAGTTATTGATCAAAGTTAGTTGGAGTTGACACACGATGTCGTGGGTGAAATGTAAGTGGCTGTATTTTTGTTGTGTTATTGATCAAAGTTAGTTGGAGTTGACACACGTGGCCGTGGGTGAAATGTAGGTGGCTGTATTTTTGTTGAGTTATTGATCAAAGTTAGTTGGAGTTGACACAGGTGGCCGTGGGTGAAATGTAGGTGGCTGTATTTGTGTTGTTCTTATTGATCAAAGTTAGTTGGAGTTGACACGCGGCCGTGGGTGAAATGTAGGTGGCTGTATTTTTGTTGAGTTATTGATCAAAGTTAGTTGGAGTTGACACAGGTGGCCGTGGGTGAAATGTAGGTGGCTGTATTTTTGTTGTTCTTATTGATCAAAGTTAGTTGGAGTTGATACGCGGCCGTGGGTGAAATGTAGGTGGCTGTATTTTTGTTGAGTTATTGATCAAAGTTAGTTGGTGTCGACACAGGCGGTCGTGGGTGAAATGTAGGTGGCTGTATTTTTGTTGAGTTATTGATCAAAGTTAACTGGAGTTGACACAGGCGGCCGTGGGTGAAATGCAGGTGGCTGTATTTTTGTTGTGTTATTGATCAAAGTTAACTGGAGTTGACACAGGCGGCCGTGGGTGAAATGCAGGTGGCTGTATTTTTGTTGAGTTATTGATCAAAGTTAACTGGAGTTGACACAGGCGGCCGTGGGTGAAATGTAGGTGGCTGTATTTTTGTTGAGTTATTGATCAAAGTTAGTTGGTGTTGACACAGGCGGCCGTGGGTGAAACGTAGGTGGCTGTTTTTTTGTTGTGTTATTAATCAAAGTTAGTTGGTGTTGACACAGGCGGTCGTGGGTGAAATGTAGGTGGCTGTATTTTTGTTGTGTTATTGATCATAGTTAGTTGGAGTTGACACACGCGGCCGTGGGTGAAATGTACGTGGCTGTATTTTTGTTGAGTTATTGATCAAAGTTAGTTGGAGTTGACACACGCGGCCGTGGGTGAAATTTAGGTGTCTGTATTTTTGTTGTGTTATTGATCAAAGTTAGTTGGAGTCGACACAGGCGGCCGTGGGTGAAATGTAGGTGGCTGTATTTTCGTTTGTTCTTATTGATCAAAGTTAGTTGGTGTTGACACAGGCGGTCGTGGGTGAAACGTAGGTGGCTGTATTTTTGTTGAGTTATTGATCAAAGTTAGTTGGAGTTGACACAGGCGATCGTGGGTGAAATGTACGTGGCTGTATTTTTGTTGAGTTATTGATCAAAGTTAGTTGGAGTTGACACAGGCGATCGTGGGTGAAATGTACGTGGCTATATTTTTGTTTGTTCTTATTGATCAAAGTTAGTTGGTGTTGCTCATCCCATCTTGAGAACATTAAAAAACCCAACATTGGAATGTGACAAGATGGAAAACCATCACGTTACCAATTCCCCTTGACGTGGTGTCTGTCGCCTCTGCATTTTGGCACACCACCAGTTGTTATTTCTCCGCGGCTAATGCTGTTTTACCCTTCCCTCGATTACCATCTCCGCTTTCTCTCCCCGTATGCTGGCCCCGGGGAGCTCGTTCCTCGCGGCGCTTCGCTCTGATACCGGCATGCTTGGCTAAGCCAATTTGAAACCTTTAAAACATCCTGCTTTCAGTGGCCCCCCCCCCCCCGCCACCTCACCCCCCTTTTTTTCCACATGATAACGGTCAAATTAAAATTGAAATACTCGACAGCAACAACACGTTGAGATTGTACTCAGGCTTACACTCACATGCGAAAGACCCACGAAATTTGATTTGCCTGCAAGTCACGAAACGCTTTAGAATCGAAATAAAAATCTGAAATACAAGTTTAACATTTTTTTTTTACACAAATGTTAAAAAAATAATAATAATACAAACGGCCACCTGGAATGCGGCCAGGTGAGTTCTGGCGTCGTGTCACTCTTTAACTAATTCATCGTCAAGATTTATCGATGATAGTTACTTGGTGTTGACATAGTTAGCCGTGGCTGTCGTTGAGCATCGAATTGAGTGAGAAGTTGGGGCGACCGTCTGCGATCGGAGTAAATGTTCACGTGACATTAGGGGCAGTCCGTAAATGACGTCACGCGATTTTGGACGATTTTTGACCCCCATCCCTCAAATATGACGTCACAAAGCTCTACCCCCCCCCCTCCCCCCAGAAATAAAACACGCTTCAAATCGCTTAAGCTATCGTCATTATAGTAGCGCGTGTATTTAATGTGGCGCCGCACTCTGATGTTGTAGGAGAAAACATTTATTTAAAAATGTAATTAAGTAGAACGTGTTGTCCGTGTTTACTTATTTATAAAGTTGCCGCATTTTGATGTGACGTCACATTTCTCAAACCCCCTCCCCCCCCCCACCCTCATCGTCACACATCGTCACAAATGTCCGACCCCACCACCCAAGGTGCGTGACGTCATTTATGTACGGCCCCTTATTACGCAGACGTGCGTACAAAAACACACTGCGCGTGCTCCACTTGAAGTCTGGCAAGGAATGTGAAATGAGGTCACCTGTCACCTGCCCCGAAGGGTTTCCGAACGTCACGAAACCACCGTCGGGATGAGTGACGTGTCGCACGTGATTTACAGGAATCTGAACGTGCCCCGATCACAGAGGAGCGTTTGTGCTCAACAGGCTCTTGTGTAGGACACAGCGGGACCAGAAACGTCAACAACAACAACAACAACAGCCACAACAACTGGGGGTGGGCGAGTGAATGAAACGTCGCGACTTCGGCTATCTTGGGGTTGCAAGTGTGAACTGGGCAAGAGCTGGACTGGGTAGGAGTCGTGGGGAGTTGGTGGTGAGGAGAGACGGGGCAGCGTCATGCACCAGTGGAGGAGCATTCTGGTGCTGGGTGGAATGATCCTCGTGGTGAGTTACCTCTCATTATCATATATTACTTCTCATTAGCCCTATTAATTAGTATTACTCCTATTACTTCTCATTAGCCCTATTAATTCTCATTAGCCCTATTACTTCTCATTAGCCCTATTAATTCTTATTACTCCTATTACTTCTCATTACTCCTATTACTTCTCATTAGCCCTATTACTTCTCATTAGCCCTATTACTTCTCAATACTCCTATTAATTCTTATTACTCCTATTACTTTTCATTATCATATATTACTTCTCATTAGCCCTATTACTTCTCATTAGCCCTATTACTTCTCATTACCCCTATTACTTCTCATTATCATATATTACTTCTCATTAGCCCTATTACCTCTCATTACTTCTTATTACTTCTCATTATTCCTATTACTTCTCATTAGCCCTATTACTTCTCATTACCCCTATTACTTCTCATTATCATATATTACTTCTCATTAGCCCTATTAATTCTTATTACTTCTTATTACTTCTCATTATTCCTATTACTTCTCATTAGCCCTATTACTTCTCATTACCCCTATTACTTCTCATTATCATATATTACTTCTCATTAGCCCTATTACCTCTCATTACCCCTATTAATTCTTATTACTCCTATTACTTCTCATTACCCCTATTACTTCTCATTACCCCTATTACCTCACTACCCCTATTACCTCTCACTACCCCTATTACCTCTAATTTCCCCTATTACCTCTCACTACCCCTATTACCTCTCATTTCCCCTATTACTACTCATTACTCCTATTACCTCTCATTACCCCTATTACCTCTCATTTCCCCTATTACCTCTCACTACCCCTATTACCTCTCATTTCCCCTATTACCTCTCACTACCCCTATTTCCTCTCACTACCCCTATTACCTCTCATTACCCCTATTACCTCTCATTTCCCCTATTACCTCTCACTACCCCTATTACCTCTCATTTCCCCTATTACCTCTCACTACCCCTATTTCCTCTCACTACCCCTATTACCTCTCACTACTCCTATTACCTCTCATTTCCCCTATTACCTCTCACTACCCCTATTACCCCTCTTTGTGGGGGGTTGGTGGAGCAGTGGTGGGGGATCCTGGAGGGGTGGACTCGGTAAGATGGATGAATATTTATATATATACATGGTTCTTTTTAAGACTTTGTGGAATAGCCCAATGTGCTGTTGCTGCTTCTGCGATGACAATACAACATTGCACCAAGACCTTAACAGCGAACTCAGCCTCCTGAACTTCCTCATGACAGCCTGTAAAGGTAATGGCAATGCCTTTTGTAGAGGCGACATTGGGGTTTCGTGTGATTAAGCTCGGGACGAGTCAACTTCTAAACTGCGAGGTTTAACTCGCGAACTGAAAACGTGCCGAGCGGATGTCTGAATTCGCCGCTGCGTGGTTTGCTTGTGCAAACAGGGTCCCTGCAGGGTGGGCCGGTAGGAACATTGGAATTTTGCGCAATTTTAATTTTTACACCCCAGCAGCACGAGATTTCACTTCGTTAAAGTATTGAAAGGGGACGGACGGACGGACACATTAATCTATTGCAGGCTGGTACACTCAGTTTATAACTTCGTGCCTACCAGTATAAAGGATGACACTGACAAGAGAGTGACTCTCAATGACGTCACCCACGTGGTTAAATAAAGGATGACAGTGACAAGAGAGTGAATCTCAATGACGTCACTCACGTGGTTAAATAAAGGATGTCAGTCACACGAGATTTAACTTTGTTAAAGTATTGAAAGGGGACGGACGGACGGACACATTAATCTATTGCAGGCTGGTACACTCAGTTTACAACTTCGTGCCTACCAGTATAAAGGATGACAGTGACAAGAGAGTGACTCTCAATGACGTCACTCACGTGGTTAAATAAAGGATGTCAGTGACAAGAGAGTGACTCTCAATGACGTCACTCGCATGGTTAAATAAAGGACGACAGTGACAAGAGAGTGACTCTCAATGACGTCACTCACGTGGTTAAATAAACGATGACAGTGACAAGAGAGTGACTCTCAATGACGTCACTCACATGGTTAAATAAAGGATGTCAGTGGCAAGAGAATGACTCTCAATGACGTCACTCACGTGGTTAAATAAAGGATGACAGTGACAAGAGAGTGACTCTCAATGACATCACTCACGTGGTTAAATAAAGGATGTCAGAGACAAGAGAGTGACTCTCAATGACGTCACTCACGTGGCTAAATAAAGGATGTCAGTGACAAGAGAGTGACTCTCAATGACGTCACTCACGTTGTTAAATAAAGGATGACAGCGACAAGAGAGTGACTCTCGATGACGTCACTCACGTGGTTAAATAAAAGGATGTCAGTCACACGAGATTTCACTTCGTTAAAGTATTGAAAGGGGACGGACGGACGGACAGACACATTAATCTATTGCAGGCTGGTACGCTCAGTTTACAATCTTCGTGCCTACCAGTATAAAGGATGACAGTGACAAGAGATTGACTCTCAATGACGTCACTCACGTGGTTAAATAAAGGATGGCAGTGACAAGAGAGTGACTCTCAGTGACGTCACTCACGTGGTTAAATAAAGGATGACAGTGACAAGAGAGTGACTCTCAATGACGTCACTCACGTGGTTAAATAAAGAATGACAGTGACAAGAGAGTGAATCTCAATGACGTCACTCACGTGGTTAAATAAAAGGATGACAGTCACACGAGATTTCACTTCGTTAAAGTATTGAAAGGGGACGGACGGACGGACACATTAATCTATTGCAGGCTGGTACACTCAGTTTATAACTTCGTGCCTACCAGTATAAAGGATGACACTGACAAGAGAGTGACTCTCAATGACGTCACCCACGTGGTTAAATAAAGGATGACAGTGACAAGAGAGTGAATCTCAATGACGTCACTCACGTGGTTAAATAAAGGATGTCAGTCACACGAGATTTAACTTTGTTAAAGTATTGAAAGGGGACGGACGGACGGACACATTAATCTATTGCAGGCTGGTACACTCAGTTTACAACTTCGTGCCTACCAGTATAAAGGATGACAGTGACAAGAGAGTGACTCTCAATGACGTCACTCACGTGGTTAAATAAAGGATGTCAGAGACAAGAGAGTGACTCTCAATGACGTCACTCACGTGGCTAAATAAAGGATGTCAGTGACAAGAGAGTGACTCTCAATGACGTCACTCACGTTGTTAAATAAAGGATGACAGCGACAAGAGAGTGACTCTCGATGACGTCACTCACGTGGTTAAATAAAAGGATGTCAGTCACACGAGATTTCACTTCGTTAAAGTATTGAAAGGGGACGGACGGACGGACAGACACATTAATCTATTGCAGGCTGGTACGCTCAGTTTACAATCTTCGTGCCTACCAGTATAAAGGATGACAGTGACAAGAGATTGACTCTCAATGACGTCACTCACGTGGTTAAATAAAGGATGGCAGTGACAAGAGAGTGACTCTCAGTGACGTCACTCACGTGGTTAAATAAAGGATGACAGTGACAAGAGAGTGACTCTCAATGACGTCACTCACGTGGTTAAATAAAGAATGACAGTGACAAGAGAGTGAATCTCAATGACGTCACTCACGTGGTTAAATAAAAGGATGACAGTCACACGAGATTTCACTTCGTTAAAGTATTGAAAGGGGACGGACGGACGGACACATTAATCTATTGCAGGCTGGTACACTCAGTTTATAACTTCGTGCCTACCAGTATAAAGGATGACACTGACAAGAGAGTGACTCTCAATGACGTCACCCACGTGGTTAAATAAAGGATGACAGTGACAAGAGAGTGAATCTCAATGACGTCACTCACGTGGTTAAATAAAGGATGTCAGTCACACGAGATTTAACTTTGTTAAAGTATTGAAAGGGGACGGACGGACGGACACATTAATCTCTTGCAGGCTGGTACACTCAGTTTACAACTTCGTGCCTACCAGTATAAAGGATGACAGTGACAAGAGAGTGACTCTCAATGACGTCACTCACGTGGTTAAATAAAGGATGTCAGTGACAAGAGAGTGACTCTCAATGACGTCACTCGCATGGTTAAATAAAGGACGACAGTGACAAGAGAGTGACTCTCAATGACGTCACTCACGTGGTTAAATAAACGATGACAGTGACAAGAGAGTGACTCTCAATGACGTCACTCACATGGTTAAATAAAGGATGTCAGTGGCAAGAGAATGACTCTCAATGACGTCACTCACGTGGTTAAATAAAGGATGACAGTGACAAGAGAGTGACTCTCAATGACGTCACTCACGTGGTTAAATAAAGGATGTCAGAGACAAGAGAGTGACTCTCAATGACGTCACTCACGTGGCTAAATAAAGGATGTCAGTGACAAGAGAGTGACTCTCAATGACGTCACTCACGTTGTTAAATAAAGGATGACAGCGACAAGAGAGTGACTCTCGATGACGTCACTCACGTGGTTAAATAAAGGATGTCAGTCACACGAGATTTCACTTCGTTAAAGTATTGAAAGGGGACGGACGGACGGACAGACACATTAATCTATTGCAGGCTGGTACGCTCAGTTTACAATCTTCGTGCCTACCAGTATAAAGGATGACAGTGACAAGAGATTGACTCTCAATGACGTCACTCACGTGGTTAAATAAAGGATGGCAGTGACAAGAGAGTGACTCTCAGTGACGTCACTCACGTGGTTAAATAAAGGATGACAGTGACAAGAGAGTGACTCTCAATGACGTCACTCACGTGGTTAAATAAAGAATGACAGTGACAAGAGAGTGAATCTCAATGACGTCACTCACGTGGTTAAATAAAAGGATGACAGTCACACGAGATTTCACTTCGTTAAAGTATTGAAAGGGGACGGACGGACGGACACATTAATCTATTGCAGGCTGGTACACTCAGTTTACAATCTTCGTGCCTACCAGTATAAAGGATGTCAGTGACAAGAGAGTGAATCTCAATGACGTCACTCACGTGGTTAAATAAAGGATGACAGTGACAAGAGAGTGACTCTCAATAACGTCACTCACGTGGTTAAATAAAGGATGTCAGTCACACGAGATTTCACTTCGTTCAAGTATTGAAAGGGGACGGACGGACGGACACATTAATCTATTGCAGGCTGGTACACTCAGTTTACAATCTTCGTGCCTACCAGTATAAAGGATGTCAGTGACAAGAGAGTGACTCTCAATGACGTCACGCACGTGGTTAAGTAAAGGATGGCAGTGACAAGAGAGTGACTCTCAATGACGTCACTCACGAGGTTAAATAAAAGATGACAGCGACAAGAGAGTGACTCTCAATGACGTCACTCACGTGGTTAAATAAAGGGTATCAGCGACAAGAGAGTGACTCTCAATGACGTCACTCACGTGGTTAAATCAAGGATGACAGTGACAAGAGAGTGACTCTCAATGACGTCACTCACGTGGTTAAACAAAGGATGACAGTGACAAGAGAGTGACTCTCAATGACGTCACTCACGTGGTTAAATACATGATGACAGTCACACGAGATTTCACTTCGTTAAAGTATTGAAAGGGGACGGACGGACGGACACATTAATCTATTGCAGGCTGGTACACTCAGTTTACAATCTTCGTGCCTACCAGTATAGGCGAGCGCCATCTCCCGCATTATTGTGGGGTCACATTCACACACCGTCAAGCAGTCCACGCATCATGAGCAGTCGGAGATTCTATCCCGGGGGGGGCGGGGGGGGGGAAAGGTGAATGGGCGGAGCTAGCATGGAAGCTTCCGGAACATTCTCCAAGGCTCCCAGAGGGGGCGTGGCCAGGGGCGGGGCTTAGCCTGAGGATCAAAGAGGGGCTCCCCCGTCACTGCCGGTCCTGCCATCTCCACCTGCTCCACCTGCTCCACCTCCACCTGCCACCTTCTCCACTTGCTCCACCTGCTCCACCTCCACCTGCTCCATCCCCACCTGCTCCACCTCCCACCTGCTCCACCTGCTCCACCTGCTCCACCTCCACCTGCTCCACCTGCTCCACCTGCTCCACCTGCCACCTGCTCCACCTGCTCCACCTGCTCCACCTGCCACCTGCTCCACCTGCTCCACCTCCACCTGCTCCACCTGCTCCACCTGCCACTTGCTCCACCTGCCACCTGCTCCACCTGCTCCACCTGCTCCACCCCCACCTGCTCCACCTGCCACCTCCACCTGCTCCACCTCCACCTGCTCCACCTGCTCCACCTGCTCCACCTCCCACCAGCTCCACCTGCCACCTGCCACCTGCCACCTGCTCCACCTCCTACCTGCTCCACCTCCCACCTGCTCCACCACCTCCACCTGCTCCACCTGCTCCACCTGCTCCACCTGCTCCACCTGCTCCACCCCCACCTGCTCCACCTGCTCCACCTGCTCCACCCCCACCTGCTCCACCTGCTCCACCACCTGCCACCTGCTCCACCTGCTCCACCTGCTCCACGTGCTCCACCTGCTCCACCTGCTCCACCCCCTTCAGCTCGAGCCGCTCCACAACGCTTGCCGCTCGCCGGCGGTGCGGTTCAGAGCGAGGTCGAGCACCAGCAGCACCACCACCAGCACCATGACAGCGGGTCGGCGTCAGCGGAACGAGAGGAGTGGCTGTGCCAGAGACTTTGAAAATAATAATAATAATAATGACCAAATTTTGATTTAAAGCTTTCGTGACTGCAGTAATTCATATTCTTAGTTGAGGACATTCAAAAAAAGGTAGCTTGCCATCTTTTTCGACTTCCATGGTAAATCTGGTGGCTGGGTGTATGGAATTGATGTGGTCGAGGAATTGGTCTAGAGCAGGCCGGCCATGTGGCCAGATGACAAAAGTGTCATCCAAGTACCTCTTCCATAAGGTTGGGCGCGGAGTGGCAGTCTGGATGGCGTCAGTCTCAAATTTCTCCATGAAAATGTTGGCTACAACCGGAGATATGGGGGAGCCCTTTGGGGTGCCCTCAGTTTGTTTGTAGAAAGTTCCATTCCAAGTGAAGTATGTATTGGTTAAGCAGTGTCTCACCAGGGGGGGGTACCTCAGTGTTTAGTCCTTGATGAACCAAGTATTCAATGATTGCGATGATGTCAGGTACAGGAACTTTGGTGAATAAGGAAACTACATCAAAACTTTTGATTTAAAGCTTTCGTGACTGCAGTAATTCATATTCTTAGTTTTTTCGGTAAAGTCACGTTGAAGAGAAACAGCAAAATAACAAAATATATATAAAACAATAAAAAATTCTCACGACGTTTCGACCATAACTCAAACGGTCATCATCAAACCGACACACCTGATGATGACCGTTTGAGTTATGGTCGAAACGTCGTGAGAATTTTTTATTGTTTTATATATATTTTGTTATTTTGTTGTTTCTCTTCAACGTGACTTTACCGAAAAAACTAAGAATAATAATGACCAAGTTAAATTTTGACTTAAAGCTTTCGTGACTGCAGTAATTCATATGCTTAGCTCTTTCGGTAAAGTCACCACATTGAAGGGAAACAATAAAATACAAATAATAATATATCTTCTTTGGTTCTTTCGGTAAAGTCACGTAGAATGAGAATAAAGTAATAAATTGATTTATTATTTAATTTATTATTTTATTCTCATTCTACGTGGGTGGTGACTTTACCGAAAGAACCAAAGAAGATGAATCATTGCAGTCACGAAAGCTTTAAATCGAAATAATAATATATGTAAAACAGTAAAAATACTCACGTCGTTTCGACCATAACACCTGATGACGACCGTTTGTGTTATGGTCGAAACGTCGTGAGAATTTTTTTATTGTTTTATATATATTTTATTATTTTATTGTTTCCCTTCAACGTGGTGACTTTACCGAAAGAGCTAAGAATATGAAATACCGAAGTTATTTACCGTGTCGGAGTCACTTATTGCACTAGGGCTGATCTTTCCATCGGAATGTGCTTTTATTTCTGCCCATTAATCATCAAATCATTCCGGCAGGGTGATGATCGATTCGACATACAAGGCGTGCGTGTGCCTTGTCTGAAGACAATTCTCCGCACAATTTTTATTTTATTTTTTTACCCGAGTTGGTGAACACCAGGTATGGATGGATTCGGGACACAAAGTGGCAATACTCACAAACTCATCGCGGAAACAACAGCGGCAAAGCCTTCCTGAAAGCACCGGCACTGTCGCAGCTGGCAGAGTGGAGACGTCTCGCGACGTCGCCCGCGGTGACTCCATTCTGCGTGGATGTTCTCTGCAGGTGTGTTATGCACTGCAGGAGCTGTCAGCCGGTGACTCCATTCTGCGTGGATGTTCTCTGCAGGTGTGTTATGCACTGCAGGAGCTGTCAGCCGGTGACTCCATTCTGCGTGGATGTTCTCTGCAGGTGTGTTATGCACTGCAGGAGCTGTCAGCCGGTGACTCCATTCTGCGTGGATGTTCTCTGCAGGTGTGTTATGCACTGCAGGAGCTGTCAGCCGCCACAGAGTGTGGAAATGGATTCTACAAATCGCCACAAGGAGTCTGCTGTGAGCTGTGCCGTGCAGGTAAAGCGACGCCAAGACACGGAGACCCACAATCCCTGTGGTGACCGGTTGCTTCCGTTAAACCACCAAGTCACGGCTCAGCTCCTGTGGAAAGGAAACTAAAATGGAATTAACTTTTCCCCCCCCCCCGTGACCTGGCAACAATTTGGATGTCAATGGTGGATACTGAAAGAAAGAAAGAAACGTGTTTTCAGTCGAGGCATTGTGCTCTTGATCACACCTGAGACATGTTGACTTGCCAGTGCAGCTCGATCTCACCAACTTGTGGCCGTGTGTTTGTGTTTGCAACAACTCCGTTGCTTGCTCACACCGTTTTGCCTTTCAGGGATGCACAAAGTGGCGGACTGCATCGGTGATGGAATGGGCGCCTTGTGTGAGCCGTGCCCTAGAGGCAGATTCATGGACAGGGACAGCCAGGAGGAGGTGTGCTCGCAATGCAGCAGCTGTGGACCAGGTAGATGACAGCACAGCAAGTGGGTTGTTGCCGTAAATGTGAATTGTGTTTGACATTTGTATTTGTTCAATGCGTGGCAGGTTTGGTCTGCATACTCCCAACTTCAACCAGCATTAAAAAAAAAAACACGGGGAAAACTTAACGAGGAACCTGAACGAATATTCCAAGCAAGACAATCCCACCTCAAATTATATTCCAATTGTTGTAATCAGATATCTTGAAAATAGAGCTGGGCTCATGGTCTTGATCGGACGAGACACAATTCGCCTCCTTCTAATGAAATTAAGTGGAGGATCACGCCCCGCAGTGAATCGCTCAGCCAGACGGTCAGAAAGGCGAGGACCAACAGGTTGCACATCTAAAAACGCCAATCCCAAAGGGAATTACAGGGTGGAGGGTGTGACCATGTCTGCGAGTGGGTACATTCACATGGTGGGTGAGACCAAAGCAATCAAGTGGAGCCAAGATGCCCCCCGCAGACAAGGAGCAATTCCTGGTATCGACACGGATGTTGAAGTCACGTGGGTAAAAAATAAAACAACCAAAATCACGACGTTTCGGCCACAACACAAGTGGCCTTCATCAGGTGAAGGGACCAGACTGTCTCTTCACCTGATTAAGGCTACTTGTGTTGTGGCTGGAACGTCGTGATTTGTGTTGTTTTATTTTTTTACCCACTACGTGACTTTAGCGAATAGAACCAGAGGGTATGGATCCTTGCAGTCACGAAAGCTTCAAATCTAGAACGGATGTTGAAGTCGTCCAGAATGAGCATCCTGTCATAGGTTGGGCACATCACGGTGATGAGCTCGGCAAACTCGTGGAGGAGCAGAGTGGTTGACTTTGGAGGACGATATCTCGGTACCAGTAGCACGGCACCGGGATACTTATCCATGCAAAAACAAAAAACACTCAAACTCTCGGCTAGGAGGGATAGTAGTGTAGTACATAGCCTAATGTATATTATTGTAGTGTATAGTGCAGTGTATAGTGTCGTTTGTAGTACTGAAGTGTAGTATATAGGAGTGTATAATTTAGTGTATGGTGTAGTGTATAGCGTAGTGTATAGTGTAGTGTATAGTGTAGTTTGTAGTACTGAAGTGTAGTATATAGGAGTGTATAATTAAGTATATGGTGTAGTGTATAGCGTAGTGTATAGTGTAGTGTATAGTGTAGTTTGTAGTACTGAAGTGTAGTATATAGGAGTGTATAATTAAGTATATGGTGCAGTGTATAGCGTGGTTTATAATCGTGTAGTGTATAGTGGAGTGCATCATCATCATCATCACGATCCATGGGCAGATAACCCGTACATTTCGTCTTTGGTTTCCACTTGCCATTGTCTTGTACCAATTTGCTCGTGGCCACATCGTCCTGGCACCAATCTCTTTCAATGTCGTCAACCCATTTACTCTGCTAGCTCTTCCTCTCTTTTCGGTTACTTCTATTTTTCCAAACAACAACAACAACAACAACACTTTTATTTTATTTTTATTATAAGACCTCTTTTGCCAGTAACAAGATATAGTAATAGGTTTTTACCCTTTTAACTGGCACAAAAAACTGACACCTTTATTCAAGGCATCATGTTTGCAATAGTGCCCTGATTTGTAATCACCGTGCATATGAATTATATATATATAAATAAATCTTGCTTTCTATTCAACATTCGCCAAATTTTCTGCAAAAACAAAAAACCTCCCAAATCAATCGGCACATGTGTCCACGTTACAACTTGATTTTATTTTATTTCTTGGGCGGTGGAGGGTTATAGTTGTCTAAAATCTACGTACAAAATCTACCCCCAAAAATCTTCTTCATGAAAGCCTACGTAATGAAAACAAAACAGATTCTATAGCCTGGCGCGGCACCACATTACAGGGCACTGCGGCGACAACCATTGTTGTAGTGTACTATGCAGCCACGTCTATGGGCCTTTCCTGCATCAAGACGCTTCGACCAGTGTGGAGACGTGTGGAGCCAAATAACCCCGAAAAGGGACGAAATGGCTGTGCAACTCGTGAAACGACACCGATACAACTCTAGGCCCGGCTTCTATCTCGCGTACCCACCCCCCCCCCCTTGTGCTCCCTCATTGTATCCCTCTCGAGCCCTTTCCCTCCAACCTTCTGCTCAGCAAATCTGCAAACCTGTTCATGGGGGGGTCGGAGATTGGATCACCGTTTTTTTCCCCCTAATGATGGCAATAGGAGAAACAACAACAACAACAACCGCCATTCGCCACTAAGTGGCGGTGACGTCACCACGATGCTTGTGCCAGGCTATGTGCACCCTGAGGCCACGTGAAGTGTCGAACGCCCGCTGGCAGGAGGTCACGGGGCAGACCCAGCAGGTGCCACGGGTCGACTGACTGAGATGACTGAGATGACTGGCTGATGCACCACCTGTGCCCCCTACTGTGCCAACCCGCTGTGCTTTAGCCACCCGGCGCTCCGCTCGCTGTTGTGAGCGTCGCTCCTCGGCCCTCCGTTGTTGTTGGAGGGCGACTGCCTCCAACTGCCCAGTAGCATCCTTCACGAGCCTCCTCCACAGAGGCCGATCTTGACACCGCTGGTACCAGTCATGGGCAAGTCCACTCAGCTCCACGTCCTCCTGTACCACATCACTCCATCTCTTCTCTAGCCCGTGCCGCGCCCGCTCAGCCCCCTCAATCCGGATAAACAAAAGCTGTTTCGGCATGCGGTGGCTGGGCATGCGGGCTACATGACCCAGCCATCGCAGCCTTGCCTGCCGGAGGAGCTCACCGATGGGACCCTGCCCAGATCTTTCAAGGATTTGTGAGCTCCTCACACAATCCAGTCTGGTTAAACCCAGGATGGATCGTAGGCAGGCCAGCCTAAATGTTTCCAACCGGCGAAGATGCTCCACCAGGGGGGTCCACGTTTCGCAAGCGTAGAGAAGGGAGGGAATGACCGTGGCCGAGAAGACCTGAAGCTTAGTGCGGAGCGACAGACCAGGTAGCTTCCACACAGCGTTACGCAACCGATGAAAAGATATTGCCGCTCGACTGATTCGGAGTGAGACCTCTGCTGTTAAACTGGAGCCAGTCATAAGCACACTGCCCAGGTATGGGAAACTCTCCACTCTCTCCACAACTGCCCCATCACCGATTGGGAGTTGTGGGGGTGGAATGTCCGATGGTACAAAATACCCAGGCAGGTGCTTAGTTTTGGTGGGGCTGATGGTAAGGCCCCACCTCTTAGTGGCACGCTCCAGTCTCAGCAGCAGCGTCTTCAACTCCTCCTCTGACTGAGCAGCTATTACCAAGTCATCAGCATACATAACGTGGTTGAGCAATAGGGAGCCATCCCTTGACCGCACCCGGGCATCGATTAGCCTCCCATTATATCTGTACCATATGGAGATTCCCCCGGTACAGCTATTGAAGGCTTCACGAACTACGTGGTCAAAATAGATGTTAAATAATGTGGGAGCCAGAGGACATCCCTGTCGCACCCCAAGGTGTACAGGGAATGGCTCTGACTCCCGGCCACGTAGTTTTACCCGGGCCCGCTCACCATCATGAAGGTCCTTAATGATCGTGAGCAGAGGGTCAGGTACTCCAAAAGCACGAAGAACGACCCAGAGCCCAGGCCTACTGATGGTATCATAGGCCTTGACCAGGTCAATAAAGCAGAGATGTAGGTCTTGTTGGAATTCCCTACACCTCTGCTGTAGCAGACGGACAGAAAATATGGCATCTGTGCAGGACCGCCCTTTCCTGAAACCGCATTGGGGCTCCGCAAGCCTCTCCTCAGCGTGCCTGGCAAGGCAATACTGAATAATCCTTGCCAGGACCTTTCCCGGCACACTGAGGAATGAGATGCCCCTGTAGTTGTTACAGTCTGTGCGGTCCCCCTTCTTAAAAAGGGGGACCACCAGGGCATCCTTCCAATCCTGCGGAACCCGTCCAGTGGTCCAGACTGTTGTTATGATGTCATATAGGGCAGTCTGTGCACAAACGCCACCCTCCCTCAGCATTTCGCTTGGGAGATCATCTCTGCCCGCTGCCTTTCCTGGTCTCAGACTCCGGATCGCCTTCAATACTTCCTCAGCAGATGGCACCTCAGCCAGCCACTCACAGGGGGTGACTTCATCCAATATTTGAGGCACCGCAGCCTCAGCAGGGTCATCCTCACTTTGTGCCACGATGTTTTCCTGGCTGAGGGATTTTCCCTCCCCCAGGAACTCACAGAAATACTCAGCAAATCTGCGAACCTGTTCCTGGGGGTCGGAAATCGGATCACCGTTTTTTCCCCTAATGATGGTAATAGGTGTGGCGCTGCAGGTTACTTTTTTGATGGAGTTAAATAGAGATTTGTGATCACGGGCCACTGAGGCAGACTCCATCTCCTCAGCAACCCGCGACCACCACCCATCCTTGCAGCGCCTCACGGCTCTCCGAACCTCCGAGCGAAGGCTGCGGTAAGCCTCCTCATTCTCTGACGTGGGATTCTGTAGCCGATGACAGTGGGCCTGTCGCTTTTTCTCAACCATCGCGAACAACTCCTCTTTCATCCAGGGTGTCTGGGGAGGTCTGGACCGCGTACCCAAAGCAGCCATTGCAGCTGCATGAGTCACAGTCCTAAACCTCGCCCATTTACCCTCGACATCAGGAGGAGTCGGGGACGATGCCAATCCCAGCCGCAAGCGATGATGAAATTCTCGCTTGCAACTTTCATCAGATAACTGAGACCAGGCCACTTTAGGTTGGAATGGGGTCCTGGGTGTACACCCACCACCGGAGTGGAAGAATGGCAGGCGCATCTTACAGATGACTAGTCGATGGTCAGAGGGCAGATCAGCTCCACGGTAGGTCCTGGTGTCAAGGACATGGGCTCGCATTCGCTGGTCCGTCACTATGTAGTCCAGCAGATGTTCTTGCTTGGACCCGGCATGCATCCATGATGTTGTGTGGATGCGCCGATGCCGGAACAGCGTGTTGGTAATTACAAGCCCATGGGCTGCACAAAAAATCTAGCAGCCTCCTACCGTTGTTATTGAGCTGATCTGGCCCATGCCCTCCAATCACTCCAGACCAGGTGCCAGTATCATGACCAACTCGGGCATTGAAGTCACCCAACATGATGACTCTATCCCGAGGGGCCACTTTAGCCAGCACCTGTGACAGGAGGTCATAGAAGGCATCTGACTCATCGGCTTTGCCTGCATCCCTCCACGGATGTTCATCTTCGGTGGGGGCATAAGTAACCACGACCACCATTCCTCGCCTCCGGTTGATGGGAAGGCGAGCCCAAAGTAGCCTGGGGCTTACAGCTTCCCACACCTCACCGCCACGCTCCCACGCCCCCTTCATTCTTTTGTTCAAAAGAAGACCCACACCCTGTTGTTTGGCAGTCTGCTGCCCCGAGTAGAGGACTGTCCACCCCTCATGGTGGCAGGAGCCAGAGCCGGTCCACCGGACCTCCTGAATGCCGCATAGATCCAGGCGGTACCGGTCCAGCTCCCGACAGAGGAGTGGCAGCCTCTCCTCTGCAGTGAGCATTCGAACATTCCACGTGGCCAACCGTAGTGGCTTTTCGTTGTTTCTGGAGTAGCCCCGAGGGTAGGTATTTAATCTCCTGGCTCCGCCAATTGGGGTTTGGCCAGGAGACGTCATAGACGCCTGGCCCCCCGGGGCCTCCGGCACAAGCTTAGTTGTTACATATTTCAGTTTAATTCGTAGTTTCGTGGTAATTAATTGAAGGTGGAGGGGTTACCAGCCCCTCGCATCCGTCCAGAGCCCCCGTTTTGCCCCTGTGGTGGACACATATGCCATGAGGGGAGGAGCCAATCAAAATTGGATCTCCCCCCACAGCGTTGTCCACGACAGAGTTGCCCGTCCGGCACCGCGAGGAGGTAGGGGGTTGTTTTGCCGGACACAACAACAATAGGAGAAACACACACACACATACACACAGTGAGACACGTATAGAGAGAGAGACACACCTAGAGAGACAGAGAGAGAGACACGCAGAGAGAGACACACACAGAGACACACACAGAGACACACAGAGGGACACACACAGAGGGAGAGACACACAACAACATCACAGCCAGTTATAGTCTTCTAAAAAAACGAGAGCCACCGTCACATCAAGGGAAAAGGGACAACCTTGGTTTTGTTAGTGAGACATTTAGCCCGTTAATGCAAATACATTTAACTTGGTAATGTAAATTGGTAATGTAACTCAAAGAGTCGGAAATAACTGCTGACAATGGCAGGTAGAATGGAAACATCAACAACCAGTTAAGGCCCTCTCCCACCTGAAGACGATTACTTGCGTGGCGATCGAAACGTCGTGATTGATTTTATTTCTACCTACTGGACTTTACGGGAAAGAACCAAAGAGGATGGATTCCTGCAGTCACGAAAGCTTCAAATCAAGATTGCAAAAAAATCCATGTTGAACTTTTTTCACACCGTACGTAGCCAACCATCCGCGTTGAGACTGATCAACTTTCTCATTGCAGGCGAGGAGGAGGCTGTGAACTGTTCCGTGGCCCAGGACACGGTGTGTCGGTGCACGGAGGGGCTCCAGAGAGATGGCGATTCGGGATTTTGCCTGCCAGAGGATCCACGATCAGGTAGTAGTCGGCTTACAAAGCCGCTCAAGTCAACCACAATAAGCTGTTTTGTTTCTCAGCTGACAGTGGGAGCAAGGGGACAGCCTGGCAACTGAAACGGCAGAAGCTGTCCGCAGAAGAAGCCCGAATTGAAACTCAACCTCATGTCTATTGCAGGCTTCAGGGACTGCGTGGCATGATTTAAAGCTTTCGTGACTGCAAGGATTTATCTTCTTTGGTTCTTTCGGTAAAGTCACGTAGAATGAGAATAAAATAATGAATTAATAAAATAAAATAACACAATAATATTCTCACGACGTTTCGGCCACAACACAAGCGGCCTTTATCAGGTGAAGGGACGTGGCTGTGTTTGCTCCAGCGCTGTCCTCCAGACATTCTCGTCCCTTCACCTGATGAAGGCCGCTTGTGTTGTGGCCGAAACGTCGTGGGAATTTTATTGTGTTATTTTATTAATTTATTATTCTATTCTCATTCTACGTGACTTTACCGAAAGAACCAAAGAAGACTGCATGCATGGTCAAGCACAGCCACGTGTGATGTTATCAGCTCACTACCCTGTGCAATACTGAACACCAAATCTGTATTTTCCCTACACAGAAGTTTTAGGCTGGAGTCCCCTTGCATCGAAATCTGCACACTGGCTAAGAAAGCGTATTTACTTCTCATTTCAGAGGTTTGTGGTTCAAGCCAAACGGATACGCTAGTTAATTCTACTGGTGCATTCAACAAAATTAAATGCGCCACCTGCTTTTATGGTGAATGATAGAGGTCGTTCTTGGGGAAAGGCGAATGATCAAAAAACGTGAAACTGCTGCAAATGATCATCTTTGAAAAAGCGCCTTCACGATATTTTTCGTGATAAAAAAAAAGATAGAAATGATGCAAAGGGCACCGATTTAATGGTTTGATTTTGCTACAGGTTGTGTTAATGCAACGTACTGGATTCCCGTGCAGTTCAATGCACCGAATAGACCGGAAAAGTAGGCGTAGAGGGGACTGTTGTTGACAGCTTGTGCTTTTATCTCCTTCATAAAATTTCAGACGCCACGTCAGTCGTGTTGGCAACAATCCTCGGCTTCGTCCTGACTGGACTCCTGCTGTACATATTGTGCTTAAAGATGAAACTGAAGGGGTCGACTTTTAAGAAGATGTTGAAGCGTCCCGGTAAGTGGTCATGTTCCGTGATTAATCTAAATATAAAATCTTGGTATTGTGGATAAAATTATACGTCGACTAAAAATATATTTTTACTCTCATTACTCTCATTATAATTAAGATGCGTGGAGAAATCACGTCTCGGCACGAGCCACCTCTGAATGCTCTCTGCAGACACCACTGCACAGAATGATGAAAATGAGTTACATCCCTTTTGAGAGCTTTGGCTTCGGTGTCATTTGAAAAAGTCCCTTGGAGAGTGTTGCTACTGGTGACAGTCACCTCTGCCGTGCCTCAACTCATCCGACAATATTTCACACCCGAGTAAAGTCGTGTTGGACAGGACGCTCAATTGAAGAGTCGTCGTTACTTCGTTCTGTGCTTACCGCTCTTGTGACAAAGGGAGGAAGTTGACAATTGTCGAGGTCCCGAGGGGCATCGATTGGACTGATTCAAAAACGACTTCAAAACTGTCTGTTCATGGTCTTTAGCCGCAGGTGATGACATCTTCATCTTGGCTATGAAATTATGCAACTTTACATTCCAGTTAAGGTTTATCCAATCTTAAACAAATATATATTTATTTATATAATGTTTTCTTTCACTCTAATATCGCCATGTGTAGTATGCTGTGTCCAATTATAGAATAGCTGATCGTTTTGGACCTATAAGAAAATGATACAACCATATCAACTGTGCTATAAATCCATGATAAACTAATTGTATCGGATTTCTTTCAGACACTACTCATACAAATAACGAGCATGATGAAAATCTACCGCTTGTTCATATCATGCGAAATGAACACAAGGTGCCATATGGAGTTCAGGTAAACTCAACGCAACATGGTGGCATGATGACCCTACTCTACATTGTTTCAGTGTGTCGGCATGCACCAGTACACTGAAAACTCCATCCCAGATAGACAGAAATAATCGTGACCGTGTCTTCTCCACACGCTACAGAGGAGCAATGAGAGCAGCGAGACAATGCAACAGATCCGAGAGAACAAAGAGAATCTCAAGGCCTGGATCGGAGTGGATCCCTCGGCTTTCCTGGAGCATCTCAACGGCTTCAAATTGATTCCACGACACGTGCTCCAAGCGGCCGTCGACAAGGGCGGAGAGGAGAGTGTGGAGCTCGTTCTGGACCACTTCCTCAGCCAGGGAGAGGCACGCTGTGAGACGCTGTGGGACGCCCTCTACTCTGTGAGGAAGCAATACGTGCAGCTGTGGAAGTGGATTCAGTCACACGGTACGACCCACGTGAACGCACCGGTGTATTGACATCGAATGCCATTTTGTGAGAGTCGAGGAAGAAAAACCATGCATATGCGTGGCTTCCGTAATTGCTTTCCAACACGTAGTTCGTCCTCGGGGAAGTGATCGGAGACTACGACGCTACGTTTAAAGCCGCACAGGAATGATGTCATGCTGTGCGTGACTGAACGACTTCACGTCACACTTGACTGTTTAAGTACCAGTATGAACCTAAATATGTTATACGTTGTGCCTTGATTCCAGAAGCACAATTGTAGCTGAATAGGATATGAACTCAATTAAAATCTGGGTTAAACGATTCGTTTGAAATTCATATGAGCCTCTGTCGATCGCAGGCGAGGCGCTGAGGGCCATTCGAGATAAGGAGTCGGATCTGAAGCTCTGGATCGCCAGAGACCCCAAGCATCTTCTGCTGCAGCTGATGAGTCGGGGACGGATCCCGAACGAGCTCTTCACCGAGGCCAAGGGCATCCGGGATGGTGCGGAGTGCACGGAGCTGCTGCTCAGCTTCTTCATAGAGAGAGGGAATGACGACTGCCTCAAGCTGCTCTTTGCCCTGCAGGCCGTGCAGAACGAGTATCCTGGACTCAAGGAGTGGCTGGGAGGCCTTGGTAACAAAACAATACATTTATAATCAACGTTTAATTTCAGACACAATCCACATTTGTCGCATTAACCGGCCATCATTCCTTCTGGTGACATGTCCTGCCCAGACGCAATTAATTAACAAAGCGATGTCCTATTAACCCATGCACTGTCGTTCTGTTTTTCTACGTAACTTGAAACCGTGTACTATTTCATGCTCTTGCAGTGCTGTTCCTTTTAATTGTGAGTGTCCACGTGTCTGATCCGTACGTCATAGCAGGTAATGCGGGCCGATTAAAACTTTATTCTTCAGGCACATTGGTTACGTTACATTTCATTAAGAATAAGGGGGTTTTCACATTTTTTTCTGACAACAAAACTGAACCCTTTCTTTACAAGGAATCACGTGGTCCATTAACCACAATACTTGTGGTCAAAATGCAAACAAAAAACACACCGACGATATATGATGCATCGTCCTTGAAACTGATTGGTCCACAACCATAGACAGCTTTCTTTTGAGCCTCGTCTCAATTGGGGCTAGACCAGAGGACGCCACAAGTATTGTGGTGAATGCACCACGTGGTTCCTCGTAAAAAAGGTTTCAGTTTTGTTGCGAGAAAAAAAGGGGAAAACCCCTATTCTCATATTTTGGTACTGGCAAAAGGAGGTCTAATGATGTAGTTACCATTCATTATTTTGTTCAAATTTTCCAAAAGCACTCCAACCTGCTCTCATCCACCTTTGAAGGCTGAAACGGCGCCAATTGCCGCTGCGTTTCCCCCCCCCCCTTCTGTGGTGCCGCAGACTTCCTCCGGAGACTCTCCAACAAGTCCCCCCTGGTTCTGAACAAGTACAGCGACTTTGTCCTCCGAGACAAAATCCGCTTCAAGACGAGGGAGCTCCTCGTGGCGCTGCGCGACGACCTGACGCCTCTGCTCTCCCAACTGCAGATCAGGAACATCCTCACCGACAACAGCGTGCGGGTAAAGTCCAACTAAGATCACCGTCATCACAATCACGCGTAGCCTCATGAATAAGGACGTTTGGTGTTTGGCCAGTCCTTTTGGCACAAAGGCTATCACGACGGACCTACTTTCTAGGCTGCACAGAACATTTGCATGTTGAGTCTGCCGCGGGATTGGTTGACAGTGAGCAGTCACAATGAGGTCCATGCCGACGTTAGGGTTGGACAAGCTGAAATAAGTGCCAAGAGCACGAACAGATGTAAGAAGCGCAATTGAACAGAGCATTAGACATAGGTCATAGCACACATAGGTAGTGGCACACGTGATCTTATAATTAGAACGTTTCTAAAACGACCGTTACCCCTGTTTACATCGGACTGTATAGTAACACAATAGTATTTTAAAGATATGCTTAGTATCTTTTTTTTCATGATACTCATGATAGAGATGTGGTTTTATGCCAACTGGTGACACAACTGCCTTGTCAATGCTTAATTCGAGAGACATTTTCTACACCATAATACCGCAGTACATATAGTTCGTTTGTGGATTTTGCCGCAAGCTCTTTGCACGAGTCGTTATTTTGATGTGCACGTCATCAGCATGCAGGGATACTCTTGACCCATTGGCGTCTAAATGTCACGCGGTAGCACTCGGTATATATTAAACAAAGAAAGGTCCCTGGGCAGATCCCTCCAGGACACATACAAAAGTGACACGTTCCTCTATTTTAGCATCTTGACAAAAAAAACGATGTTTTTTCATTGGTAAGATAATCACACAGCCAAACAAGTGGCGATCCAGATCCTCAAATACGCTGGTGCAATGTGTCATTAATAATGCTCATTTTTTTTTAAAATACTGAATGCAATTGAAGGACCCAAAAGCAGCACGTGTAAGTGTATGTAATGGACAGTGTGAATGTACAGCTAATCCCTCGCCTACCGCGGGGATTAGATTCCCGGAAAAGGCCGCGGTTGGCAAATCCGTGGTTGGTTACAAATACCGGGGGCCTATGGGAAATAGGGAGTTAGGGGGAACTACTCGCCATGGTCTGACTCAGTTGCCTGTTATTTTTTAACGAAACACCGAATAAGATCCAGTATATTACACAGCACAATAAAATCGTAACCACGCATTACGTAAACTTGACACACCTTTAATGTTAACGACGGTGATCATGATCGATGGCAATGAGATAATTGGGGGGGGGGGGGGAAGGGTTTGTTAGAAGGAGGAGGGGACTCGATCCACCCTCTAACTCGTCCGTGCCGAAGACACAACTCTCTGTCACCTCCACCACGCGCTACCACGCTTCGGGTCCATGGTTAAGCCATGCAGAGCGTCTTTCAATTGCATTCAGTATTTAAAAACAAAATGAGCATTATTAATGAAACATTGCACCAGCGTATTTGAGGATCTGGATCGCCACTTGTTTGGGCTGTGTGATTATCTTACCAATGAAAAAACATCTTTTTTTTTGTCTAGATGCTAAAATAGAGGAACGTGGGAATAGGTTTTACCCTTTTAACTGGCACAAAAACTGACACCTTTATTCAAGGCATCATGTTTGCAAAAACCACAACACAAGCAGTCAGAATGCAAACAAAAAAGACAACTCTGATAATAATATGCACTGTCCTTGAATTTGATTGGTCCACACCCGAGACAGCTTTTCTTAGAGCCTAGTCTCCATTGGTGTTGGACCAGAAGACGCCAAAAGGCGTACAACTCAAAAACAGCGCACCATCAGAGTATGTGTCCTGCAGGGATCTGTCCAGGGACCTTTCTTTGTTGAATATATACCGAGTGCTACCGCGTGACATTTAGAAGCCAATGGGTCAAGAGTATCCCTGTATGCTGATGACGTGCACATCAAAAGAGCTTGCGGCAACATCCACAAACGAACTTTATGTACTGCGGTATTATGGCTGTAGAAAATGTCTCTCGAATTAAGCATTGACAAGGCAGTTGTGACGGGGAACCCCGCGACATTGGTAACGATGACGCCGCGCGTTACAATGTGATGCAATGACGCAATACCTACGTCACTCGACTTCCTTAACACCGTGCTTAACCGCGGATACTCAAATGTCCAGGCCGCGGTTGGTAAATCGGTATAGAAATCATCAAACCCTGTGTACATTCAGCTTGCGGTTAGCAAATCAGTGGGTGGCAAGGGATTCCTGTACGTAAAAAAAAATATTGAGCAAAATTACGGGATGTGGATTTGGGGGAAAATGTTGAAATGAAAAGGTCATGGAGATTACGATAGAGTGTGAAGCATGTCTTACTGATTACACTGTAACAAAAACATTGTTCCTGGGTAGTAAGTGTTATTTTCTTGTTGCTTATGCCTCTAAAGTACAGAAAATGGCTATCTATTACCCACAAACTTTGCTTTTGTGACCAGGACAATGATATTTTTGATTTAAAGCTTTCGTGACTGCAGTAATTCATATTCTTAGTTTTTTTCGTGACTTCACCGAAAAAAAACTAAGAATAGGCCAATGATGTTTTGACATTTACCTATTTTCAATGAGAAAACGTGGCGTGCATTTGTGTCATTCCTTCACGTAAAGTCCTGGTCACAAAAGAAAAGTTTGAGGGGAACAACAACAATAATAATAATAGCAATTTTCTATACTGTTGAGGCATAAGCAATTAGAAAATAACACTTAGTAACCAGAAACAAAAATCGTGTTACATGTCTTACTATCTATACGTACAGGATTCTCCCTATTGTCCTTATAAATAACGTAGCTAAAACAACTCGTGATTGTCCTCGGAAGTATGTAATTACACTAAAACAAAACCTGAACATTCATCAAGAACTCTGTGGCCTTATCTTTACAAAATTTACAGAGCGTTTTTTTTCTAACGCGCTTCACAGCGATGATAAAATTGTGCGTAAGATGATAGTGGTCTGAGATGAGGAATGTGGTTTTTCAAAATGTTGGTGCTATTTGAGTGACAGAACAGAACAGGCGTGAGTGTTAAGGAGGGGGCTGGGGTAGGTTTGGTTGGAACTGGGTGGGGGGGGGGGGAGAGTGATGAGGCATTGCATTGGGAAGACAAAGAGAGTCGGCCGGGGGGGCTGGGTGGGTGGGGAGAAGAGATGGAGTGGACGCTGAGGTGAATACTTTTATTGCTGGGTTTGTCTCCCGAGTTTTAAGAAAACCCTTCGATGAGTGTGGCCAGTGTTCGATAGGGGTAAGTCCCGAATAGGAATACAACTTTACCTGGAAGTGTTGGTCATGTTGGATCATCTTTACAAGAGTCACACTTTGTCATAAACGCTGCTGCTTTACAACGCAAACACAGAGTGCTTCTGGAGTGTTGCAGGCAAGCGGCTCTGAAGAACCGCCATCGCTACAGAAACGTCGTTCCGCTCTGAACTTGACGTCTTTGCGTTCGTGTGTCCACCCGCAGGCCGTGAAGGAGATGCAAGCTCGGCAGGGCAGCGAGAAGGCGACACAGCACATGGTGGAGCTGGTGATGGCGAGGGGGCGACCCAGGGTCAAGCAGTTCTGGGAGGCGCTGTGGGACCTCAGGGAAAGTTACCCAGACCTGGAGAACGTCTTTGAGAAGTTCTAATGGGTGGAACCGGAGAGAGAGAGGGGAAGACCTAACGGAGAATGGCTTGACGATGACCTCATAACGAGATTGGTGCCAGAAAGATGATGCGGCCACTACTTTAGCATATTGGCACGACAAGACAGAGAGAGAGGAAAGTGGAAACAAACCACCACCTACGACTATGGGGATATCTGCCATATGGATCGTGATGATGATGATGAATGGTGCGTGGGGGGTAGTTGTGGTCCAGTGGTTATTGCACTGCACAAATCACGGTGGCTAGGATATGTTAATTACCCTGCCCCGTATACAGGACGGGAGGTCGTGGGTTCGATCGGGACCCAGACGCCTGCTGTTTATTTTGAGTTTGCAACATCTCTCTCCCCGTGGTCACGTGGATTTTCATCCAAGTCGTCCTCTTTTCCCTTCCGCATGAAGAATCAACGTGACGCGTTTAGAATATTTTGCTGCCATAAAATTCCACGTGATGATGTTGACAGGAATTCGTTGAGCTATCGTTTCGGATAGCCATGTCGCTTCTGAATAAGAGCTACTGTATAGCTCATTGGGCCTGTACTGGAAAGATAGCTCAAATATATATTTTTTATCATTTATGAACCCAACTGCTCTGTCTGCTTCTTCCCTGGCACCGCTCCGCTTTGTAATTCCCTCCCATCGTGTCAAGTTTTTGTAACAACCCTTGCCCAATTCAAGAAAGGTATTGTCCATTGACAGCCACGCAGAGGAATGTGCATGATTGCCGTGGGGGGGTGTTTAGTCAACGAGACCAAATTAATCGGTCGTATTCATTAAGTCACGGTTGGCTTATTTTAACTTTGTTTTATTAATTTATAAATAGCATCACGATACATATCATAATTATTTAATCACGGGCCAAGCAAGATGTATTCACTTGCATTAGATCGCTGCCACTTCCAGAGCAGATCACTTTGCCAGGCTCCCTCACTACCAGGCCGGGGATGCCTGATATGGCCATGGTCGCCATTTAACAAAAAAATGGCCGCGAGTTATCAACTCCGAAAAACATTCGTAGAAGATTACAATTCTTAATTCTATATTTAAAGCTTTCGTGACTGCTAGGATCCATACTCTTTGGTTCTATTGGGTAAAGTCAGGTAGGTGAAAATAAAACAACAAAAAATCACGACGTTTCGGCCACAACACAAGCGGCCCTCATCAGGTGAAGGGACGAGACCGTCTGGAGTGAGGAAATCCGATGAGCTGTGAAGCTCTTTCGTTCACACATTGATTAGCTTGGGGGTCGTGATCTGGGCGTGGCTTTTCTCGCTCCGGTGCTGTCCTCCAGACGGTCTCGTCCCTTCACCTGATGAGGGCCGCTTGTGTTGTGGCCGAAACGTCATGATAATTTTATTGTGTTATTTTATTTTATTCATTTATTATTGTTATTTTTTTGTTTTATTTTCACCTACGTGACTTTACCCAATAGAACCAAAGAGTATTACAATTCTTAGTTGCATTACTTGATTCATGATCATCATCATCAGCGATTGTCATCTCCTTGCTCTCTATTCATCATCATCGGTGATTATATCACCTTACCATAATCATCATCAGTGATAACATCACCTTATGTATTCATCATCGGTCATGACATCATCCTGCTCTATTCGTCATCATCAGTGATGACATCACCTTATGTATTCATCATCAGTGATAACATCACCTTGCTCTATTCGTCATCATCGGTGATGTCATCAGCTTGCTCTATTCGTCATCTACAGTGGTGAAATTACCTTCACTATTTAAGATCGGAAACAGGAAGACTTCTTCACAATTCTGGCAAATCCTCTGATGAAGCTGCTGGTTGTTGTTGTTGTTGTTGTAATCGCCAGCTAAACATCGCAGCAGTACTGAGGAAGGAAGCTCTCCCTGGCTATTGCGTTTCAAAAGGGGTCAGGGGTAGCAGGGCGTGCTGATATTCTCAGTCACCACCGTGCCTGGTTACGGTGCAAGTCTTTTGTTTTGCATCTCCCCCGTACCCGTTCTCTGGCCTTTATCCACCCAGAAGTGTCAAAGGAGGTGGCGCGTGGTGGGACAAACAGTGGCTATCTACGATGTGGTTTTTTTTTTAAGGCATCCGACCAGCATGGAAGAGAAGGCGAAATATTTTTCACGGGGGAGGGGCTTTCTTTTTGGGGCTCTATGGTGGCTAGGAGATGTTGACTACATCGCCTGGTATACAGGAAGTTGTGGGTTCGATCCTGACCCTGACGCCTCCTGTATATTTGGAGTTTGCATCTCCCTCCCCCGTGGTGACGTGGATTTTTCTCTGGGTCCTCCGGGTTTTTCCCTCCACATTTAGGAATCAACATCACACGTTTCGAGTTTTTTTTGGCTACTGCTCTAAATTTCCACACGACGTTGATGATATCAGCCACTTCGTTGGGCGATCATTCATGATAGCCAGGTTCCACTTCCGAAAGAAGAGCTATGTAGCTTAGTGGGGCCTTACCTGGTGAAATAGTGCAACATATACTCTGGGGGGAGAGGCTTTCTAGAGACCCCTCTCGTGGAGGCCTTTCCACCAGCAGTGGCCCACGTAAGTCACTTCAAGACTGCCTCTTTAGCTTTCAGAATAGTTGTCTTCATACTGGAGGAATCCGATGAGCTACAAAGCTCTTTTTTTCACAGATGTCCAGTGTGACCCTTGGTAGTCATACAGTCACGTGACGAATTCACTTCACTTATATTCCTTCCACCGAGCCTCGTTCCACAAACGACGTTTCGTTAACGGTGCTTGTAGTTGACAAATTTTAGAGCCCCTTGGGCCAGACCAGATATCGGTACCACCCAAGTTGGCCAAACTTCATTGGTGCCATTGTATTTGTTACACCAACAGAAGTAAAATAATACACGATAACCTTTCCAAATGAGCAGCTGTTTAATTTTTCTCCCAGGAAAACTACTTTCGCACCTATCGCATTCACGCCTATTTGCCCGAACGTTGCAAATAAAACATTCCAACACCTCTGCTGTTAATTAAGATAAGAAATAACTTACGAAATGGATGTTTGTCCCCAACGGATGTATTTCATACACATTCTTGCATCTATTCACACTTGTTCTTCAATTTCAGTGACTTAGTTAAGTCTGGAATAGATTGGCGCTATCTGTTTTCCATCTGTTTCCAGCGGCTTGTTTGCTCATGATCATTTACTAGCAGGTGAGGCAAGTACTAGTGGTTGTGTATTATTTCTGTTCATAAAATATATCTAAAGTGCCAACTTTACCCTCAATGTACTGTTAATGTACCTTCTTTGGTTCTTTCGGTAAAGTCACGTAGAATGAGAATAAAATAATAAATGAATAAAATAAAATAACACAATGAAATTCTCACGACGTTTCGGCCACAACACAAGCGTCCTTCAGCATGCTAAGTCCGCCAATTAAATGCTAATTTTTTATGCTAATTCATTTGTCAAGGCGCTCTGTTTCTTCTCACACAGCTTAAAGGTCGCGGTCTGAGCTTGGCTCTGTTCGCTCCAGCGCTGTCCTCCAGACAGTCTCGTCCCTTCACCTGATGAAGGCCGCTTGTGTTGTGGCCGAAACGTCGTGAGAATTTTATTGTGTTATTTTATTTTATTCATTTATTATTTTATTCTCATTCTACGTGACTTTACCGAAAGAACCAAAGAAGATGAATCCTTGCAGTCATGAAAGCTTTAAATCGAAAAGTTAATGTACCTGTTAAGATTATTAGTTAAGGCCAGGTACTACAGGCAAAAGTAATGATTTTTGTTCAGTTTGTCAATGTTGATCTTTTTGATATTTTGCTTCCATAAATTGTAAACTTTCATAACATGCACACAATTATTACCAATAACTTTGTTAGTGGTAATCATTGGCACTTCTTGCCTGGATCTAGACTGATCTGACTTCTAGCCTGGTTGCTTCAATGAACTCCCTAGGCATTGTCCAAGTCAAGGAATCAACCAAGAAGCACACAAGGCAAAAGCTGGAGAGGGCGTTTGCTGGAGCCTTGGGCATCTTCCCTGATGTGAAAGGAAAACTCCTCCTCTATCCAGCTAACCTGTCCATGAGGGAACTTACCAAAGAAAATCAGTCTCTCAAAAGGGAGCTGCAGACCCTGAAAAGTGTCGGTGATGAAGATGTTATAGCCAAAGCAGCCGTCAATTTGAAAGAGGACATCAAGAGTCAAGATGTTCCTCAAGCCTGGCCGCCTGAAGTCAACCCAGAAGCAGAATGTCCTACCATTCCAGAGTCGCTCATTGTCTTCCTGAACTATCTACTCACAGGCGCTCATGATCCTGATCATGCATCCCATAGAGTTCAGCGGCTTCTGCAATCATTTGTCCATGACATAGTTTATGCAGTGAAATGTGCAACGACCAAGCCTTCCAAACACATTGTTCTGCCATTCAGTGTCAAGTCATTGTCAGGGAACGTAGAGCTGATAAACATCCTCAACCGACTTGGTCACAGTGTGTCCTCTTCACGGATGGAAGAGATCGGCACTGCCCTGCGTCTTCAGAACCTCTCATCATCAGGGAGTGACATTGCCCTACCAGCTAACATCCATCCTGGTATATTCACAACTTTAGCCTGGGACAATATCGATCGTCTTGAAGAAACCGTCACTGTCAGCGGTGAGGGATTGCTGTGCAAGCAAAGCGAGCCAGCCCAGGTCCTGTCCAACCCATTGCCCACTGTTGCCAAAAACAAAGCAGAGAAGCATTAATGCACCCCGGCCAATGGTACCAACTTACAACGCTGGACAACGGGTGGAGGCCACCACAAAGCAACAGTGCAGATGGCGATACCGCAGCCAATACTCAGCTTGCCAGGGAGAAGAACCTTGTTCGGGTGCTAGCACGCACGTCACAACAGGAAGACCAGCCAATCAGCAGCTGGACAGGCTTCTACATCCTGACTCGAGGTGAGACGACGGTCATCCCCGACAATGCAGACTATCTGCCCGCCATCAGTGCTCCAGCGACACAAGTGTCTACCGTCAACGAGGTGCTTCACCGGTCACCGAGCATCGTGAGGTACTTAAGCCTGACAAAGATTGTCCGCCTCTTTGAACCAAGCCGTGCATGCGCCGGCTGTCGAGATCACATGGAAACACCGTGACAGGCTCCATGTTATCGTCGTCAGGCTTGGGGTATTCCACACCATCTGCACACTGCTGGCAATAATTAGGAAAGCGTTTCCAAAATGCTGGACTCCGAGATCTCTGCATTGAGTCTGGCATGATCGCAGAAGGCTCCATTGTTTCTGGTGTTATGGATGGCCGCAAGCACAACAGGGCAGTGCGACTACACAAGCTCCTGTGTGAGGCTCTCGTGTGACTGACATGGAATGGTTTCCTGTCCTGGTTGGAAGCAACTCACATGAACCGCATGGTTCACCTGGATGAGACGCTGAGGACCGTTGACAACCTTGGGAAAGAAGTCTCGCAAGCCGCTTTGAAGGAGGTCCTCGAGAACAGCTCGTGTACACGCGTCGTGGGACTGTTTGAAGTCTACCGCGTGTTCATCAGAGCTTGGAAACGGCAGCCTCTCGAC